TTGTAGTAGTAATAATAATAATAATAATAAAATGATGTATTTTAAAAATTGCTAATTTTTTCCCAGGTGAAATGATCAATCCATTACAGTACATAAATATAACCCGAAAGAAATCGTTGAAAAACATCGTAATTGTCTTCAAAAGCGACGTTTGAAATGTTAATTCAATTTGCCTTTAAAATTAAAGTACAGCTTGATTGGGCAGACTTCTTGTATCCAAAACTCAGAACTATGACAAGTAATATTATCTAAATGAATCAGTCTTTTTTTGTGCAGTTATGCTTATATTTACAAGAACAAAATTTAAATTAAGTCAATTAAATTAATTTCCAGGGGTCATACAAAAATTTCACACGTGCAGAACTAAATATAGCTAGTTTGAAAGATTTCAAGCAAACTTATTGTTTCATTAATGGTCAGCTGATAGCACCATTTCTCCTGTACGTGTGTAGTTCCAAAGCATTGTAACCAACATATTCTGACATTGTGAGTGACATTCAAGTAACGATGAGCATAATATTACAACAAATCGCGCTACTAATATCTACAATAAATTTTCTCTCATTCGGCACCTGTGTTTTCTTGAGGGAGGTTATTGAAGAAGTAGTGCTACTTACCATATACTTGCTTCTACGTCTTATAAAAGCTGAAACTTGTGAATTCACCACACATAATGATGCGTCTTCACTCAACTGTGCCCAACTGCAGAGTGAGTATTCCGCTCGCACTACGACGGGCAACTTACTGTTATGCAAATTACAACAGATTTGGCCCATTTTGGGTGAGAGGTTTTGGCTAAAACTGCTCACAAATGTTCACTGTCAAAATATTAACGTACATTTTTGATACAACTGAAGTCCACTTGTTAAAATATACTACTTAAACACAAAAACTGCTTTTAAAATCATAATCGAATAAAGCGTTTTTATGACTCTGTCTATATCTTAAAACCTAAGATCCTTAGTATTTTATGTAATGAACCCAATCAGTAGAAATAGTTTAATATGGGTAGGATAAATGGGCCCTTTCTATATAACTGGTCGCTAACATTGTCATCCCGAGCAAAGTTGTATTGGTCACACATGATTTTTTTTACTTTGATACCATTCTTTCTAAATATTATGTAGGCTTTAAATGACAGAGGTTCGTTGAAAGAAATATTTTCAATTAGTATATCGAGTTTCAGTTTTGCATGATTTCTAAAGGAGACAATAACGATTACATGGCCATTTTAACACCTTTTCCCGAAAATGATACAGTGTATATTGAAAAATGGTCGTTGCCTACTTCACCCCCTAAAATTTTTTTCAGGGCCCTTCAGCCAAAGGGGGGGGGTTGGCTTCGCATCCGCTCACCCCCCCCCCTTTCAAATAATCCTGGATCCGCCCCTGAATATATTTAGGTTTAGAACTATTTCATGTGCATCTTTTATGAAAAAAAAAAGTAATTCTACTCCAGTTATTAAGTATAATCATAACAACCGTAACTGTAATAAACACCATCTTCATAAGGTGCGATCATGGTCATGTGGCTGTCGGAATGTGTTAGCGCAGAAATGTTGAGACTTGGCAAGCTAAAGGTATCTTCACAGCAGCATTGAAGGTACTTTAGTGGACTGTTTAAACGCCTCTACAGGTGGATTAGTTGGAGAAGGACATTTATTTCTTTAGGCACTTCGTATAAAAGACTGTGAATCCCTAATTTCGTCAAGGGCTCTGCCCCCCTTCAAACGGGGCCATGTCGCATGAAAATCGCGGCTATTCAACGAAACCTATATTCTGAGTCCTAGAATTTGACTTTCGCTGCGTTTTGCGTCTGTGCACACTACCGAGTTTACTTTAGACCAAATCTGTTTGCGATCGTCACCGTCACCGTCACCGAAGAGCCTATTTTGTCTGTGACCTGGCAGGGCCGTAGCCTGAGCAAAATGCCAGGGGGGGCAGTAAGCGGACACGAGGGGGCGAAGTCCTCGAGGGGGGAGGGAGTGGGAGGGGGTCTCCCCCTCCAACGGCGTGGAAAAGTTTTAAAAAACTGTGTGTATAATACTGCATTCTGGTGCATTTTAACTGCTATTTATTGCTCAATCAGAAGTCAGAAATTGTGGGTTCATTTTGTCATAAGTACAGCCTGGGGGATAGCTCCTTAAGGGAGGGTGAGCTTTTTGGCATGAACTGAGTTGGCTAAAAACAGTACACCTTTGTAAACAGATTGTTGAATGATTGTCTAGTGGCCATGAGTGCATTTCCTCACAGAATTGATACCAACTTCGCAATTATTTTTTTTACCTTTGCGATTATTTTTTTTGCACCTCAAATCCCAGGGGGGGGGCAGCTGCCCCCCCTGCCCCCCCGGAGGCTACGGCCCTGCCTGGGGGCTTTAGTGAAGGAACTCCGCCTGTCACAGCAGTTTTAGTGCTCTCAAGTCTTCTGTAGACCCAAAAGGTAAGTTGTTTTCTTTTTATAATCAGTTGAAATTTTGTTATGTGCAAAACTGTTATTTGTGAAAATTTGAGTATATCTCGTTTAACTTGATTTTGATCTGCTGGATAAACTATGAAAGAATGTTTAAATAGCGGAAATTGGGACATTTTTCATATCAGTTTTGTGACTTTGAATCAATGACAAGACAAAAAATCGGTCATGTTAATGTCCAAAACGACTAAAATTATCAACCGGGATTTTGGGCAAATCCCTCGATTTTTTATTGTCGTTTGCATTTGGACATACAGAAACAGGCTTTTAGGGAAAATGTGATGTTTAAGCAAAGAATAACATTGCATACCTCCAGGGCACGTAATTCGTGTGTGAATGTAACTGACATACATGTACAAGCATAAATTTCGATAGCATTTTTCTTCTGGTATCTTTTAATTTCAACAGACAAGTCTTTTACTAGAGATTAAGAAAAATCTATCACGTTCATTACCGACGTGTATTAATTTAAAATAAATCCAAACATTTGTAAGATGCTATCTATGTCAAGAAAACTTTGTGTGGAAATATCACTAAAAATATTAAAAATATTAAATTTTTTCATTCACTTATCAAATATGTTTTTCGCTTCGGTATGACAACGAGACAAATATTCTTTTTACTGTCACCTAGGCCTATGCTATAAACGCACGAGCATACGCGCGCCCCGTTTGTGACTGTACAAGTGCGAGTATTTGTGCAATCCATTAGGGAGAAAATTTCAATTTCTGATTTCAAAATCATTTTTATGACAACTTAATATCATCTCGTTCAGGAAACCAGATAACACAGGTATTAATCTTCTATTATCATGTATTCCTCTACCTCCACAAACAGATTTAATTTGCAGGGCCACGTGGAGAGCACAAATTCCTCCAAGAAGTCACACAGTTCACGGCATTTGCAGATAAGATTTGGTCACTTTGGTGGTATAACTTATTATAGATAGTTTTGTTGTCAAAGGCAGTAGATATTCCGCGTCGATTTGCTTACTGACCTTTATCTAAAGGAAGTCGTTATAATTTGATGGAAAATTAAATAGAAAAAGTCATATAGTTTAATGTGAAAATGATCATAAAAGAAAGTCAAAAAGCGTTGTTGATGTCGCAGGCAAATACTCGTCGTATTTAAATCGCACACAATCTTTTAGATTGAGGCCTGAAAAGAAACATGAAGATTAAGCTGATTTTCATACGTTTTCGCTTCAGTTGCGGAGGGCTTCGTCCATTCCTAAATCAACTCTGCCAGATTTCACCTACTCTTAATCTCGGCAAAGTGATATAACATTGTACCATAGGCTGTAGAACGTAAATAAACCATTGGGATGGTTTCACTGGCTTTATGGCATTTTGTGAGCGTATGAACGTGTTTTATTTCTACTGTTATAGTTCATTACTGGTTAAAATTTTCATATAGCAAAATGTTTAAACTGTTAGTACTTTACCTCCTCTCAGTTGTTCCAAGGAACACCCAAACCACGTGAATTCCACATTAATGCACTTATACGTTTCATACAAGGTTGAGCACGAATGGAACCTGCTTTTTCAAAAGACAATGGTAATTTTTATTAACATTTATTAACACGCCCATTTTTCAAGCTTTTCAGTGCAATTATTTTATTTAGATATTTACCCCATCGAAAACTTTACACCAGGCTACAGAAAGTAGATCTTGACCTAGCTATTGCCTTATGCAAGTCATCGTTTGTTCTATATTCAATGTTTTTTTATTTATTTTTCAATCATGATCGTGCATGAGCAAAGTCGTCAATGAGGACACCTGTGAATGTCGATACGTCTTCGAGTCGATGCATTTCGTTTCTTTTTTAAGATAATTACATGCCATACGTCTCTAATATTTAAAAGGGACACCAATTTTGTCTCCAAACACCTTGAGACCAAGGGAACAGTTTCTCCCCCTCTTTCTCTCTGTCCATCCATTCATCATGCATCAAACCAAAGCGAGTGACACACAGTGGGGATTTCTCTCTCTTTTCTCTCCTCCCCTTTTTTCATATTATTTATTTCTTTTTATCTATTTATTTATTTGCCGCCAATCTAAATCAAGTTCAGCAATAAATTGTTTCATAAGTTTATTGTCTCCCATGCCCCAAGCAGGTAAACTAAAATTGCTGAAGATAAACATCGGCGTCAGGGAACTCGCATACAGTGGCTCCGAAAGGGGAATGATAGCAATATTATTAATTTTATTCTGAGGAAAAGAGACACTATTGGCTGAACTAGGTAACGCGTTTTGATGCCTTATTTTGCATGAACGCAAAAGAGAAAGTTGACACAAGCATGGATTAAATAGTTTAAGATGCGACTAACTCGATAAACTACATATTCTGAAGGATAATCCTTTGCAAACGGTGTGATTAATATGCATACCCGCTGCCTGCATGTGAGGTTTATTGACCAATAAAACCATGTCGAGTGTTCTGTCAACTTGGAACTTTTGCGCTACGGCATTTACTCTGCTACAGTAAAATGCAAAACCCCTAAATTGTCTTTTCTTAAATACAGATACTTCAAGGTGTCCAACAAGGTAAGAATTGTTTCCAGCCACAAACCAAAGAAACATGCCACAGGCCCAAGTAAATACATTCCACGTGGTCGACTACATTGTCTTCGCTGGCACTTTGCTGGTCTCAGCTGGCATCGGCGTTTACTCGGCCTTCACGGGCGGCCATCAGAAAACAACGGCAGAGTTCCTGATGGCAAACAGACAGATGGGAGCCATTCCTGCTTCCATGTCCCTGCTTGCCAGTTTCATGTCTGCCATCACGTTGCTGGGGACGCCAAAGGAAATGTACGTGTATGGGACCGAATACCTGTGGCTGGCCTTCAGCTACTTGTTGGTTATTCCGGTAGCAGCACATCTCTTTCTGCCCATCTTCTTCAGGCTTAAGGTGACCAGTGCCTATGAGGTAAACGATAACTTTAAGTAAAATTTATATTCATGCTCTAATGTAGCCTACATATATCGCTTCTCTATAACTGTCTGTTTTACGTGATCAGTTGTTCTGCCGCAATACGGGCCAATGTTTGTCAGAAACGTTGCAATTTTGGTTGAAAAAGTGTGGCTTATCAGACCACAATTAGCAGATGTTGCATGAACACTTGTTGCTATCACCGAGTCCTTTTCATTATTCTAGTACTTGGAGATGCGTTTCAATAAAGCGGTGCGCATTGCTGGATCTCTCACTTTTAGCCTGCAAATGGTGAGTAGCAGCTGAAGTACAAAATCGAATGATGAGTTTGCTAATATCTACGTATAAGTAATAGTTGAGCTTTATGCAGTTCATTATTTATTGATGCACTAGAAAACATTACGGTGAGCAAATGTCACCAGTTTGAGTTTTCTGCGCTATAGGTTGCCAGTAGGGTTCATAAGCCAAAATTTCTTCGCATTATGTCTGTATTATGTCAATGTTTACCTATCGGATGAGAGTTACGCCTATTATTCAGGTAATCTGCATCTATAGATCCTTGATGCTTCTCCATAAATCAGAACCTAGACCCACCAAATTGGTGGGTACTAGAAGAGATTAAACAAATATTCATTACCGCTTTAGTTTTTTATTACACACGAAGCCGTATATCTTTGTTCTCAAATATCACATCCGCGGCGCAAAGTAATGTCGATTGAGAAATAGCAGAATATTATTTTTTCAATACACATCTAATCATAGGGTGCCGGATTGTACAGATAATTTTTACGGATTTCCCATTAAAAACAAACTCTTTTTCATGTCACTAATTTAATTGAACTCATTGAATATTTCAGATACTATACATGGCTATCGTACTGTACGCGCCATCTTTGGCATTGGAACAAGGCAAGTTAAACCCCATTCTCATATCATTTCTGGCAATCGTACACGAGTAAAACGAATGCATATACGGGTCATTCAAGAAAAATGATAACCGTTTGAGTCGCGCCAGTGACTCACTCATTTTGTGCAATATTTGCACATTTTTGACTTTTCCATTATTTTCATTGTTTATACCATAGTATTATTAAATATGGAGGGAAAATGAACAGTGCTTAATAGTTGTTATTAAACGTGACTAAAATGTTCACTTTTTGTGAAATGACACAGGCATGCTGGAAGTTTATTTCTACTTACCGTACGAACTACAATCTTTTAGAATCTAAGGCTAAACAGTAGAGTGTTTAAATGATAATCAATATACAGTCAATTTACGTTTTAACACGAGAGCAGTTTAATAAGGTGCTCGATCAAACGGAATATTCATGTGCAGTAAATGTAATTTAAATTTCAGTGACACAATTAAACAAATGGATCGCTGTTGCGTCTGTGGGTGTCGTCTGCATCTTTTATACAAGCATAGTAAGTTACGTTGACAAAAAAGAATTTGGGGATAATTTGATGACTTTAGTAACGGGGAGAAATTGAATAATTTGATATCTGATCTGAAATTTGATAATAAGATTTCGAAATAAAGAACATCCGCGGGTTAGTGTTTTGTTATTTGAATACATAACATGTACATGTCTAGATTTTAACGCACGCCACCTACATTTCATTAATTCAATGTTTTCTCCCTAGGGTGGCATCAAGGCGGTAATGTGGACAGATACCTTTCAGATCTGTATGATGTTTGCCGGTCTGCTGGCGGTACTCATACAGGGGTCCATTGAACTTGGAGGGTTTGGAAACGCTTGGGAAAAGAACATAGAAGGAGAAAGAATAAATTTTCTTGAGTACGTGGGCATTATTGGTAATAACTAGGGTACCGCTCTCGCACTTAGTTTCACCTATGAATGTGTACGAGTCTTGCATTTATCAAATCGGTTAGTTTTACAAGTTTTGCTTGAAAGAACATATACAATTTTAGATAGGACATCCGCAAATTTTTTTTAGCTAGAGTGATTATTTTTACTATTTTATCTGTTCTTCTTTGAATTTTCTCATCATCATCATTATTATTATTATTATTTATTAAACTTTTTAAAATTATTTTTCAGTTTTGACCCAGATCCCCGTGAGCGGCATACAGTTTGGACGTGTGTGTTTGGCGGGTTTTTTACCTGGCTGGCTGTGTACGGTGTTAACCAGGCTCAGGTACAGAGAGCTCTCACAGTGGTCGACCTCAAGAGAGCACAAATGTGAGTTCATAATTCACAGAATATATCCCAAAGAACAACTGCACCCGCAATACACGCAATTTAAATGAAGAGCTATTATAATATATTAGAAGTGCAGTGACATGCGTGCTATTTATCGTTGATTTCATTGGAATGTTAACCTTAGATACAGCGCTTTTAAATCTAAAAAATTAAGTTTATTTGTTGAGTGTCTAGTAATTATAGATCTAGTTCTACAAAGACCTACCTAGCGTCTCAAAATAATCTAACGTGTAAAATACCTGTAGAATAAATTAATACTAAATTTGTGCGCCCTTCCCACTTCATTAAAGAAATATTTTATATGGGACAGAGTGACAGAATGAATTACTGATTTAAAAAAATTGATAAGATTTACATACAAACGAAAAAGATGAAAATTAAAAATAAAGGTACTGCTTTTATTCCAGTGCGTACTGGGTTAACGGACCTGGCTTGGGTCTGATCTTGATAGTCAGTGCCATGTCAGGAATACTTATCTATGCACATTACTTCGACTGTGATCCTAAAACAAACGGGGACATCTCAGACTTGGATCAGGTAAGTAAATAAAAATAATAATGATAAAAATTAAGTGAAAAATGTCCCAGAGCTGGAAAATGTTTATTTCCCAAGGAATGCTGCTTAGAATTCTATCGCATCAGTATGTTTCATGACAACATAACTTCGATTCCGTGTTAAGTGATGAATGTTTTATTCATTCCACTTAATTGCCATGTATTTTTGGGCATTATATTGGAGATAAATCAAAAGAATCTGAAGTGTCACAAAGGTTCATGTAGCCATTTTCCTGGGGTATTAACATTGTTAAAAAATAAACGTCATTTTCTCCTCAGCTGCTGCCCCTATTCGTTATGGACAAACTTGCGTTTTTACCTGGTCTTCCTGGTCTGTTTACAGCCTGCCTGTTTAGTGGGGCGCTCAGGTAAGAAACCATAAAACTACGAAATAATTCATCGAGAGATTTTATCGGTGCGTTTTTGCGTATTGACAGAGCTTTAAGTCAGGCGTTCAACAGTTAGGCTTTAGTCTCGGGAGGCGAAAATCTCACGAGAGTTCGCCAGATAGATTTTACTAGAGTTCCCCAGAAAAATATCACTAGAGTTCGCCAGAAGGATGCCCTTGGTTTATTCTCGCAAAATATTGCTAAGATTTATGTAATTTTATTTTTTACTCAGTGAAATATATTTAGAGCCAATGAATATAAAAACAAATGTGTATGTATATGATAATTTCAGCACGATCTCGTCGGGATTGAACAGTCTTGCCACTGTGTTCACACTTGATCTCTTTGAGCAGTTCTGCTGCAAGAACATGTCAGACAAAAGAGCCACCATCACATCCAAAATCATGTGTAAGATACAGTCTCTGTGGTAATATCGTATGTGCGCCGACAATATGTTTATTATCATTATTTTCTTATAGCGTTAAATGCCGACGTCTTGTTTGTAAATTCATTCTTAATTTTTTTTATTAAAACAAACTGTTGCAATAAGTCATTCGACACAATACATTTAATAATAAGATGCCTAAAATTACTCTACGATTGGTTTCTGAATCGAAGTTATTTATCGACGCCATTAGGATATGTCAGGAAAATGGTGCTTTCCCTTTCTTTCTGTTGTATACTTATTTAGAATATTAATTTTAAGTCGTCTTTTTATCTACCCAAGTAACACATTCAGAAGCGATGTAAATAGCAAAATGTTTCTGATACAAACCTGTTGTTAACACATTCAAATATGTATTCGTGAATATGCCTCTCTGTTTATCTCTCAATACGTTCTCATACAGCGGTGGTCTTCGGTATCCTCATGATGGGCCTAACATACGTGGCATCGCTGCTTGGAGGCGTTTTGCAGGTATTTTGCTTCCTTTTTTACTGATAGATTTAAAGAAAACCCGTCTCAAAATCGTGGGCGCGATCTACCCTTGGTGAGTCTAGCTTTTTGTCAGGACCACCGCAACGAAGGATCGGACCGAAAACGGTCGACAAATCCTCGATGTAAACGCGACTTGAGATTGGGCGCATAAGTTGGGCTTACGTGGGTACCTTGGCACCAATCGGCATAGGTCTTACTTGCAATACAAACAAAATTAAGATTGAAGTTCACGTTTATTTTATGAAGTCCATTCATAAAATAAACGTGAATTTCGTTTGATAAATTTTATACAGATCCTGACCCGCATTACAAACATGTAGCTTAATTTTCTTTCCAGGCAGCCTTAGCTCTGTTCGGGATGATAGGAGGACCTCTCCTTGGCGTGTTTACACTTGGAATGTTCTTTCCTTGGGCGAACTGGAAGGTATGAAAAATTGCTTGAGTTATGACGGCGCCTAATGTCCCATTTATTTCAATTTTTCTTTCCCATAAAACCTGTTTATATTTGCGTGCCAGTTAAGTTCTTCATAAAATATCGTCTTGCTTTTGTCGTTCTATTAATTTCCTCATGGATTAAAATATATATTGCATAACGAAAAATAAACAGATGAAGTAGTTCTGCATTTCAAAGACCCTTAGATCTATGGTTTTCCGATTCTACTTTACCAGGGAGCTCTCGCTGGCCTCATCACCGGCCTGGTCATGACGTTCTGGATCGGCATTGGTGCTCAGATCTACAAACCAATTCTCTGGACAGCGCCAGTGTCCACTGCTGGCTGCAATGTCGCCAATGCGACCAACTTGACCACTGTCATGACCACCAGTCTCACGGGCGTGACGGCCACTTTGTCCACTACGCCAGCTACGACACCTGAGTACGTATGTAAATGATGCTACGTTTAAATAATTACGTCAATTAGTGAGTGAAGTTACCTTTATGTTTTTATATGCACATTGCAGCATTTGAACAATGTAGTATGAAAAAATTCATTTACACAGTATAATTTTGCGGTGAAAAGGAAAAAATATATATAAGGGCCGACGACCAATTCCCGAACCTTGGTTAGGTATTTATAGCAATTTTAGAAACCTTTATACATTTTTCCCGAATTTTGGCAAAACGTGCGTATATCTACACACTTGGTGCAACAGATCTAATAACAGACTAACATCATCATGACACTTTATCTTCACTTTATTATCTCCATAAGGCAAGTTATCGACACATTATTTTTCTTTTCAACAGACCTATGCTGGGTGGTTTGTACAATCTGTCTTACTTGTGGTACAGTGGATTTGCTGTGTTGGTGGTAGTGGTGGTGGGGATGTTGGTCAGCGCTGTCACAGGTGAGTATCTTACCAGTACCAGAAGAAGTGAGACAAGAAAGGTGGCATATTGCTGAGCTGGTGGTAAAGACGAGAACGTTCTTTTGAGGTGTTAGTTGAGAGGTGGACACTGCTACAATATCTTGTTGCTTTTGAATAAGACCCTATTCTAATCAAACTTCAATAAATAAATAAATAGAAAGAAAAAAATTAGATAAGGGGTTTTAATTCGTCTAATTATTTGGGAACGTTTGACTGTCAAATCGTTGATTATTTTAAATAAATTTCAGGGTACACAGACCCAGAGAAGCTGGATTACCGCCTGATCTGCCCAGTGTTTGACGAGATGTTCTGCTGCTTCCCAAAATCCTGCCTCAAAACTTTCCGCTGTGGAGTCGACCACCACCCAGTAGGTTTCATTTAAAGAAACTGTAATGGATTTTTTTCATTTAAAACCATTATAATAACCTACATTATACATTCCAATTTTACTAGTACTTGACAAAATCCACGTAAACAAATTGTCACATTTTTCTTCACAGGAGAAGTTCCACTACTGCTGTGTCTGCAAGGATGTCGACAAAGATGACATTCAGGATGAAGAGATTGTTCTGGAAGCCACTGACCACAAGGATAACAGCGCTGCTCTAAGCCTGACCAACTTGGCATTTGAGAAAGATGAAGAGGCAAATCTAGCCACACAGAATGGGCATTTTAAAGGTGGGGATCATCCCCAGAATCACAAGGGGGATGAGGGCGGTAAAAATCACAACCCAGCCACTCAAAATGGTCAACTTGCTAATGGGGTGGAACTTATCCACATCAAACAATTTTGATGGCTCTGCTTGCACTAAAACATATGGTCAAAAAAAACTTAAAGATTTTTATTTGTCAGCTTCAGTTTTTGGATACTTTTTTTGCGTTGTTCAACTCATGTATGGGAAGCCATGCTTGCATGTGGCCGAGGTCATCTTTGGGTTTTCCCATAAAAAACACTCTGTTTCGTTGGTACTCTCAAACAGTTTGTGAAATAAGTGTTACAAGCTCAAGGCCACATTTTGGTATAATAAACAAGATGTCTTAAAAAACATACTGGTAATAAAACCATAAAACTGGTATTATTTTAGATATAAAAAAGTCGAGTCTCTGCTAAGACTCCTCATGATAATTGCCTCTTTTCTCTTATCAGAGAACAGAGATGTTATTACATTTCAATGACAGTTTCTTCAGTCAACAGTTAGGATGAGAGGATTTGTTCTCCGGTATTTTGGTATTTGTCAAGTTATCATCTTCCCACAACAAAAGAATCAAGGATGTCTCAATAGAAATAATGGATCCACTTCTAATGGTCTCTTAATAATGTTCCCGCTGGTTGGGAATGCAGAAAAATGTATTTGAAATAGAACACTAAAATTAAAATCCAAACAACGTAAACAGTTGATGATTTATTAAATAGATGTTACATTCCTCAGATGCTCTTGAATGCAGATATTCCAGCACTGCATTATAAGTAATATTAATCTACATCAATATACATACATATATACTTTGAGCCTATGATATATATGATGGGTCCAAGCATTTGCCAAGCAGTCTGTTTTTCTCTTGACGTGATTACTCAACTATCATGATATGAAAAAATAAAAGCTTTTTTTTATTACAAAACTTTTATAATTATGTTGTAGTGTGATTGTATGTTCATGAATGACATATAAATATATCACAGGAACAATAGGCAGTAAGTCCAGGTAAAAAGTGGCTTTCAACAGAGATTCACATGTATCTTGATACCCTTGGGCTAAAAATTTATTTACAAAATGGTCCAGGAATTTGCTCCCATGTACATATTCAATCCACTTCTCATTAATGTGAAATCATTCATTTTTGTATTATTGAATTGTGGCACCATCACTGTGATATTAAACTACCACACCAGCACAGAAAGTACAAGGAGACAGCAGCATCTTCTTTATGCACTCCGGTGCTAAAAATGATGGAAATAAGATGACACTACATTCTTATGGTACAATGTACAAATCACATTGAAATTTACAGTCAAAACCATATGGAATATCTAAACTGCAAGTCGAAAGCTTGAAGAGACAAAGGATCAAAGACTTGTTAAACCCAACTACGTTTCACCCAGTGAAGTAAAAAAAAAAGTATGGTTATTCTCTGACAGTTATTTCTAAATTCAAATATAACAAATCTACGGTGGATTTACAAAATAATGTCTACAAATTTATCAGTAACTTAGTCTTACCTTTATCTGGTAATGCTATGGCTAAAGCTCTGCAGTTCTGGCATTTTCTGTAAGGGGTCTCCTGTACCAGCAGCAGGGACTGGCAGCAGCGAGCTTTAATAAAACAGACAGCATATGCAGCAATTCTACTGCAATTTCTTTCTAAAGTTTTAAGAAACACTCACTCTCTCTATAATATGATAGCATTTGTCATTGAAAAAACAATGCTGTGCCAAAACTTCACTGTACATGTATAACAAAACAAATATCAAACTACCAAACTTATGAACCAATTAAGGATTTCTTTTGTATAAAGTTTGATTAGGTAATGTACTTACCAAACTTGTGGCCATTCCCACAGGAATCCTGCTTTGCACTGCTAAAATTTATCACTATTAATCAAGCTAAGGAATTATTCCTACAAATAAAATTTTGACATTTCCAATTTGCACGCCAAGAAAGTCTCTAAGCTTATATTAATATTAAAGATTTCAAATTAATCATATTGAGTTGTATAACTTTTCTCGCCTAACTCCATTCTTTCTCTTCTTCTTGAAAGGATACCTTCTCCACATATATTACATTTCTCTGCAGGTTTGTGAAACTGGAGTTTTGACTTGACATTTTCAATCAAGGTGTCTCTCTCCTTGCAGTCCACTTCTGTTTTTCCACTGCGTAGAATTTGACACATTATGAATGCGGATATTTTCCCTAAAATAATAATCATAATACTAAATGAGCAAAAATGTTCATTAGCTTGGTAGTTGGATCGTAAATGAAAATTATCAAACACAAGCCGAAATATTTTCATACCGTTAACTTAGCCAGGTTGGGCAATCATAATACTAATAACAAGTCACTGCACAGTTACACTCTTTTAAGATTCAAATCAAAGTGAACAGAAGGACACTTAAGTTAAACAACATTCCACCTCTGACAGAACGGTTTGGCTCAGAGATCTAACAAAACCTACTTAAACACTTACACATGTCATCCAGTTTCCCTGCCTCATCACCTATACCATAAAGCCAGTCTGTGCAGTGCAACTTCAGTATTCTTTCTTCTATTGTGTCACATATCTTCTGTATATCCTCCATCTAGAATAATAAATTTAAGAAGTTGTTAAAAAAGATCCACAAATAACAGTTTTGAGTTAAACAGATGAAAAGTATAACTGAATGTAATTAATACTCTGTCTTAAAAGAGAATGATGAAATGCCTGTGCTCTACTTTAAAATAAGACCAATTGTCATACTTACTGTTTGTGAACTTATGTTTTTCAAAATACCCTGGTAGTGCTTCAGGAAAATTACACCCAAAGATCTTCAAAATAAAATAGAATCAAAGACATTTTAGGACAACACAGCAATGCTGGCAAATATAAAGACACTGTTAAAACAAAACAAAAGCCCAGTTTCCAGTAAACATTTTTTGAAAAAAAAAAAAAAAAATGCTCTTCCAATATTTTATTTAAATCAGATCCAAGTATACAAAGATACCAATTTATGCAAATAAAAAAAAATTCCTTAAACTTTTTGCATTATCTGTATTTCAATATTTTAAGGCTTCAACTTAATTCAAGCTGTCCAAATTATCAACTTGAGTCCCAAATGCTTACATTTCTCTTATTCCTTTAAAAATGAACCAACACAAACTGGCATTTATGTGCGAAAACTATCATTTAAATTCNGTTTTCCATTTATGGTGTTATCAGTGCTGCATATATGCTGAAAAAAGAGAAAAAATAGCCTAAGTTCACTAAAAATGACCCAATCACGCTGATTTTTGAACTTGACCTGCGTATTATAAATATTCATCAGATCTGTAAGTTTCAAGCCAAAAAGTAAAATGGTTTTCCACTTATCGTGTTATCGGTGCTGTATATATGCTGAAAAAAGTGAAAAAACAGCATAAATTCCCTATAAGTGACCCCATCATGCTGATTTTCGAACTTGACCTGCGTATTATGAATATTCATCAGTTCTGTAAGTTTCAAGCCAAAAGAAAAAACAGTTTTCCACTTATCGTGTTATCGGTAAAAGTGCACGGCGACGACGGCGACGGCGACGGCGACGACAGACGCAGATGATGGCTATATGTACAGACACATCTGTGTCTGTACATAAAAACGTTCTTGACTTGATAAAACTTGCAACATTGGCGCTGTAGACCTCTTAAGACAGGACTACACCAAAATTCATAATCTTAATTTCTCTCTCTATTAGTTGGGTATCTACCTTCAAGCAGGGCTGCCAAGGTCTGTTCAACTGGTGTGTGCACACTGATGTACAACTGCAGAATAAGCTTGGAGTCCTCATCTCGATTCTCAACATAATATCTGGGACTAGCAGAGAGAGGTAGAATACCATAATTATACTCTAAATTTAAACAAAATAGTTTTATCATGGTTTCCAAAACACGGTTTTGTTTGTAAAATCTGAAAGTACAATTTGAAAGTTCCACAAAGCAAGTTGGCATCATGTCAGAGATGATTTAAAGGAGGCAAGCAATAAACTAACTTTCTTACCAGTAAAAAAGTTTATCTGCTATCAATAATACCAGTAATTATATGTTGGCATGTAGCTAGTAAGTTAAGAAGTAATGCATAATATAACAGACTTCAGTGTTTAAGAAACAAGTTTCTCTTTTTCACAAATGCAAATGAAAGTTAATAATTCTATATCCAACAAATAATCACAATCCTTTTTAGTATAAAGGCTCCCTCAAGCAGTCTTTTACAGGGGCCAATTTAGACCGTCTTCTGGGTCTTCCAGAAGACGGTCAGATTTTCAAGTTTACATTAAAAGGTATCTTTTTTTCTGTTGAAAGACGGTCAAAATTGGAGGATGGATCAATAAAGATAATTTGGAAGACTGTCAGGAAATAGCTCTGTATCCGCCCCTGCTTTAGACACCTACCTCTGAAGATGTGCCAGAAATACTCTGTCCTTGGAGACAGATGCCCCACAGCAGTTGACAACCTTGTACTGTTTGGGCATGTCCAGAACACTTTCTGAGACAACTTCAATATCTGCAAAATTAAATTTATTAATGAACATGTACAGCAAAATTGAAAAACCTCCTCCTATATCAGTAAAATCACTTTCAATGAATAAAGAAAAGTTAGACATATTTTCAAAACAAAGGATACAGCATGCCTTGTAATCTCTTAATTTTCAACTTTATTAAAACATATTAAATTTTAAGCACATATCTAAGGCAACTTTCAAGTGTAGCATCTACTGAAATTGCTATAGTAAATGTTGAACTATAATTTGAACCACAAATTACCTCCTGACTGCGTTTTGCTGATTTGGACTGTTTGAATGATTCCATCTTGAGATCCGATTATAACTCCAGATGGAAAAGTGGAAAGACCTAAAATAAAATCACAAAACTACATTTTGATTTGGTTTTCATATCTTTGCAAGTAAGTCTGTATTTATTCCTTAATACAATAGTGAAGTCTGGTAACCTGATGTATTTTTATTATGTTTGTTTACACAATTAGATAGCCTTAAAACTTTGTTTAAAAAAGATGACTGATGTTAATGTCTAGTACAGTTTTTTTTTCATTACTTAACTTCAACATCTGTCTATTTGTGTCTGTACCTGAGATTATGAGATTGTTTCTTCCTATAAATGTTTTGGTCTTTTTAATCCCTATACCACTATTTGCCATACAGATGTCTATAAAGACAAGGAAAGAGGCTTTGCTTGCAACAAGTAACCTCTCCTGTAAAGTGAAGTAATTAATATATTTCAAGGTATTAATTGTTTCATCTAATTGGTACAGGTACTTGAGCTTTTACCAAATAGTAAAAATGTTCTGAATACTGTACAGTGTTTATACAGTATAAAGAGATGGTCAATCAGTCATCTTTACTGAAGAAAGTAATTTCTGTAGACTGATATATCACTTATTTATGTGAAAATTGTTGGCTGGAAAGAAAAACCAAACAAACAATGATGGGGTTAACCAATATGTAATGCATATGAAACCTCTTTCATCCACTCTATAGCAGTGACACCTAGTTTATCTTCTTGGTCCCACAAGTGTACAAAGCCTGCCTTGGTCAGTGCCAGCTGGTCAGTGGTGTGACTGACCACATGGGCCTTGATGATGCCTGACCTGTATCCAACACACATTATACCTGGAAACATTGCCATTCATCATCATCTTCAAAATGATCAGTGGTTCCAATGGTATTAGTATTTAGACAATCAACTCTACAATCAAAATTTGCATGGTTTGCTATCATATGAATTGAAATGCATGTTGCCAAATTATATAGTGTTATTATATAGAAAAAAAATTCAATTGTCTAAATATGATGCTAATTATTGCTTTTTCTTCTTTAAAAAATATATATAAATCTTTAATTCTAAAATATCATCATTATGACTAGCTTCCACAACAGATATAAGGCACCAACACTGAGAAGCACAAATTATCAGTAAACAGAGCCAGGAATGGGTGAATTTGCTGATCACAAAACTGTTCTGTTACATTATAAACATGAACATTTACCAGTGTCATCCGAGTAGGAGGCCCACTTAATGCAGACTGGTAGCATGGAGCCAGTGTAGACAACCTCATGTAATGATATATCATCCCTACAACACAATGAGGTAAAAGTAACTGTTAATGTGTCTAGTGAACCGTTACTATTAAAAAAATTAACAATCTTCACAAAATAAATGAAATAAGACAGACTCAAATGCATAATAAAATGTAACATCACTAAATAACCTTTTCTTAATGAGCATATATCTGACAATTTCATGTAATAATCTGGATTTCAAATACCAAAAATTCTCTCTAAAATGTAATTATAAAGAGTGCGAGAATAATTTAATAAACATACTCAGTACTACACGGAATGTTTATTTTCCATAAAACAATGTGTCCACTCTTCATTGCAGCAGCCAAGAAGCAGTACGGTCTAGGTTCAAGGCCACTGAATTTGGCACATTTTGCAGCCACTGGTTCAAGAGAGACCTGGGCAGGGTAAACTGGTGACCAGTCAATTGCTGAAGACAAAAATATATTTACAAAATTTATAACTTTGTAAGAAACAGAAAATGTCTGGAATAATTGTTTATGAAAATCATAACACATTCAATTTTGATTTAACTTTGGAAGAGCAATAAGGCCACACACACCAAAAAAATTATAATACAATGTACAACTTCAAAATTTTGGAATACCTTGATCTACTGTTTAACATGTTATAATAAAACCAATAACACCTAAAAATAACAGACACTGTTAAACAAATTACAGGTTAACAATTTGTACTCCCTGTACACACAAACTTGGGGAAAATCCCTGGTCTATTTACATGTATTCTTACCTACAGCTGCCAGCAAGTAGCTTCTCTGAGTCAGCAGAGAAGTCTGGTTCTGTTTACCCTTGGGTTGTGATTCATCATCCATGGTAAACTTCTTGGTTTTCATGTGCTGATAATAACTGTTGGATAAATCTACCACCTACAGTTGCAAATATATTCATATAATATTTTTAATATGAACAAAAGTGTGATAATGTTAAATCTGCTCTCTCTTTCAAATTCAGCTTTTAAAATTATCAACTTGTGTCTTTAAGTGGCATTACAAATACATTATATATCACGTCTAAATTTTGTTGGATTTTTTAAAAATCTTACACAAAACGTAGCTGAAAATCAGCAATATTTATCTTTAATTATCAGATGATATATTACCTTTTTCCATTTCAAATGAAAGCCACCCATATTGTAAATGCAAAGTCTATGGTCCATGGACAAGGTGGCTAAAATGCACCTGTAATGTAGGAATTTATGTTAACCTTAATTCACTTGTATTGCTGACATTTGCCATTCAAATCATTATGTTTATGTCTGTGCCTTGGTCAATGGAGTTTACTTTATTTTTGATAACAGTGGTCTAATGGGTAAAGATAGATTGTATTAATTTAAGATAAGATATATGACCTAACAGCAGGGTTCATAAAGTACATTTTAAGGGAAATAACTTACTCCTTTTAACCAAATCAATAACCAAATGGCAAAATAAGGTATACTTTAAAAATTCCTCAGACAATATAATGTGTTACCTGCCCATGGGATCCACATCTTTGGCTGACCATCTGACAGTCCTGCAGCCACGGTAACTGTAGGGTTGACCACTCCCAATCCCTGGACTCACTGTTCGATCCAACATTATAGGGTGTAACTCATCTGAAATATGGCAACATTTAGGATCTGACTTGAAAAATGGCCATTATTTTTAAGTCACTAGGAAGGGATGTGTTAAGAGTGTATGTTGGTGAAGGAAACTTTGTCTAATAAGGCATTAGAACCTGTATTAATTCAGATTAAGAATATGTAAGGAAACTTACAGGAGCGGATCCAGAGCTATTTACTGACAGTCTTCCAAATTATCTTTGTTGATTCATCCTCCAATTTTGACCGTCTTCCAACAGAAAAAAATAGATACCGTCAATGTAAACTTGAAAATCTGACCGTCTTCCAGAAGACCCAGAAGACAGCCTAAATCCGCCCCTGACTTACCTGCAGGCAGACTGTTGTAACACTTCTCTCTGTCTACATCCACATTGAACTCACAAACATCTGGAGAGGCAGGGATGAAAGCCTGTCTGGCAACAAGGGAATCAGATGCATCAAGACCACATGACAAATCCTAGCAAGTAGAAATGTGAAATTATGTAAATTTCTATACATGTACATGTGTAACTGTAAATATGTAGGAGTCCTTACAAATGAAAATGCTTTGTATGATCACCAAGGTAATTTGTATATACTGTACGACGTTTACGTACCATGGAATTTAAAAAAAAAAAATGAAAATTTTAAAATATCAACCTGTTTGGAAAATTTGAACTTTGTAAGTGTAAACAGGTGTACATAAACTTATATTAGGACATGAATTTCAACTTTTGCATAGATGATTAAAAGTACTGTACACAAAGCATCATAGTATAAAAGTGCTGAATAAAATGGATGCCACCTCAATGTCACTTTAATACAGACAGGCAACGTGTGCAATGCCGGGTATTCCAACAACTGAGGCAATACAAAAACTAACAAGGCTTTGTCTTTGTAGCAGTACAAAGTTAAATTTACATTAAGTTAATTGTACACATTGCAGTTTGTTTCTTACCACTACATAGACCCCTCCCTCTGTGGCCACAGCAATACGGCTATCTTCTGACCATGTCAGGGCGTGGGAACTACAAGTTTTCTGATTCCACCTCAGAGATGCAACAACATTCCCTGCCATTTCTTTTTCTTCATAAAAAGGCTTCTTTTTCACAACACATGCCTCAACTGAACAAGGCTTGATAGTGGAAGCAGATCAACTTTGTAATGAGATTTTGCCGCACGTTAATTTTATAACGTCTGTTAAATATGAACCTTGGTGAAAATAAACCGTTAAACAACACTCATCTGACGTACAAAAGCAGTAAGAAAAAGTCAAAAGAAATTTAAAAAAAAACGCCTTGTAGTGAGAGACAAGTGTCTTCTGAGGCACTTCCTTTGCAATCATGTGCATTCCGTACTTCAATTCTGAAGAGTTATATTTACCACCTTCACTTCCTGCAGAACTGCCTACCAAGAAACTCCAGAGAAACACCCAACTTCTGGGATATTTGTGGTAACTGAAGACACAACCCGGTGTCTATTTACTAAAATGGCAGCATCGTCTGAACAGGCACCGGATTTACCCAACGTGTATCTTCTCCGACATGTTGCTAAAGATATGTTGGTTCATCTGCTGGAATCGGTAAGCAAGTAGCCAAGTTAAAAGTAACTACATAATTTATAGTACTAATTCAGGGCTGTTTACTGGTAATATCTGGGGCATTAAAGCCAGAGATAATCATCTGGGTATCTCAACAAAACTGAACCGTTCTCTATAGAAGAGAGAAACAAGTGTAACTCATATTTACATGTATATTTTTATTTGTATAATTGTTATTATTATTATTTTTTTTTTTGGGGGGGGGGGGGGAGGGGGGCATCTATATCTAATGTACAGTGTACCTGTAAAAGGGAGGCGTGACAATTTATATTTCCTTTAAGTGTTAGTATCATCCTTCATACCAAAATTTTGTTATGTATCCAGTTTAATTTGCCACAATCTCTTCGCCACAGTATGTTGTGTATGTATGTGTTGATATTTTAGGTACAAGGGAAGAAAGATCTGGTGCTGGGACCAAACCTGATGCGGCCTTTAGATCGTATAGCAGGGGCCAAGCTGTTAAGGGTAATCTTGATGCACTGCTTCATTCCTTGAAACCATGCAGTTGCTAAAATTTACAGTATGATTTAACTGAAAAGGTATAAAAATGGCATTTGTCTATTCTGCCTAGTGAATGAAATAAGTATAAATTGAATAAGATAAAAATAAAGAAAAACCAAAAATAAACACCGTGCCTTTTTAAGTCATGACTTTTTATAATTGAAAATTATTTACATTTCTTTTATTTAAGGANGTATGATTTAACTGAAATGGTATAAAAATGGCATTTGTCTATTCTGCCTAGTGAATGAAATAAGTATAAATTGAATAAGATAAAAATAAAAAAAAACCAAAAATAAACACCATGCCTTTTTAAGTCATGACTTGTTATAATTGAAAATTATTTACATTTCTTTTATTTAAGGAACACGGTGTAGACAAAATATTCAAACTTGAAGCTAACATGGATATTAAGGGCTGTGACCAGTGAGTGTTGTACATTTTATGTTTACATTTATGTTTACAAAATACCAAGGGTTATTTACATGTACTTTAGCTTAAAATATGAATAAACAAAAATTACATGTAAAAGATTTTTCAGTGGTTTCTGATTATTTTTTTTGAAGAATTTTGTTTTGGCTAAAATGTTTTATCAGTTTGGTCAAATTTGATTTGACAGAGCTCAGATATTAGTTACTCCTATTGTTATAATTATTTAAACAGTTATTTTTGCAAGCGTAAGCACTACAATACCGGTATATGTAAAGTAGTTTCTCTGTTTTAATGAATAATTTTTTCCAGACGCATATATCTAGTACACCCAACCATGTTTAATGTGAAGCTTATTGCTGATCAAGTAAATCAAGAAAAAACAAAAGCACAACAGGGACTCAGAAAAAAATTAGTGTGCAAAATCATTTTCACACCTAGAAAAGTGAGTTGAACATCATAAAATTCAAATAACATCTCTAAATTTTAAGCAATAAAAAGGGCATCAATTAAAATATTTATTTAGGAAAAACATTTTGTTGCTTTGTTTATTCATTTAGTTAAGTTGACATTGGGAGCTTATTGAAGGGCACCGCATTTGAGAATAAGCATTTGAGAATAAGTATTTTCCCAATGACAGAATTCTCTAAGATTTCTGAATATATGTTTTTCACTTTTCCAGCTGCATGTGTGTGACAAGGTACTGGAAGAGGAAGGAGTGTTTGGAGACGTAGTTACAGATGAGTTTAAACTGGACCTTATCCCAATAGACCAGGACATCTTATCCCTGGAATTACCAGAGTATTTTAGAGACTTTTTCCTGGTGAGTTTGTTCATTAGTATGTGCATAATAGCTAGGGGTCATTATTTTTTTTAGAGAAATTGCTATGTCTGATATTGAGTAGTCCATCAGCATTATTAAATGAATTTAATAATGATATTAAAAAGGCAATTCAATATTTAATGATGTTGAAAGTTTTCTGCCTCACACACCAACCTCCCCCTCCCACACTCCCTTTTACCTTAATTTTACCTACATTATATAGTACTAATATGGATCTTTTGTAATTGATAACAGGAAGAAAGTCAAATGTGGCAGCACACAGTGGCATCTTCATTAAATGGAATTCAGCAGCTGTTTGGACCTATTCCGTGTTTTTATGCCTTGGGTAAAGGGGCTAAGGTGAGGATGGAATATGCATATTTATAAACAATTTAGTAGCTATGGGTTACAAAAACCTGGGCAAGAGTTTTGCTGTAATTAAGAATATTAAGTATCTTTTCACTTTTCTCTTTTATATCAGGCCAGACAAGTTCTCTGTTAGGTTAGGAAAGTAGAGATACTCTAGAGAAAAAAAATATTTGATTATAATTATAATTCCTTGATTATAATTCATTTCATGTTTGCTTGTTATATTTAAAATTTATATTTATTATATATGTATTGCTACACACACATCTTGTGTCATTTTAGATGGTGCAGCAGATGTTTGAGAAGATGCCGTCATATGGTTTAGGACATTGGTCAAAGTCTATTACTGGCATGGAGTCTGAGATTGGACATGTTTTCTTGATAGACAGAAGTTAGTTTCATATTTTTTCATTTTCTAAATAATTGCAAGTGTGATGTTACTTTTTTAATATATTGTCATTAGTGTGCAGAACAAATGTGCAGATCTTTTTATGTTGTGATTTAATTTTACATCAGCAACATGATCATAGTTACACGTAATGATTACTGATCTAAAAGTTGTTCTTGAACACAAATAAAGTAAGGATGTAAGGGAATGGATGTTCATGAAGTCCATCTTACTCATATGTAAATTATCATTATTATTGTTTTTATTAATATAAGTTGATGCATAAACAAACAATTACATGTAGGCGTTTGGATGAAGTTGTGACATATTGAACAAACTACATTAAAAACTTAACACATGATTTCAGGTGTGGATTATGTGACTCCGCTGTGTTCACAGGTGACATATGAGGGTTTGTTAGATGAAGTATTTGGTATACAGAGTGGTAGGTATTACTTGACTTTGGGCTTGAGAAATGCAGTGAAATGGTTTAAACAGAATCCATTACATGATAAGGAAATATAAAAAGGAAAAAAGTGATAATGACTAGTGTCTGTGTGAGTTTGTTCATGACATTATAAAAAAACTTTTCAACTTGTGCAATATCTTTGCACAATCTGGTATTAAAGGTACACATTATTATCTACCATCCTCATATTTCAGGATTTTCAATTTGCCATTGCTTTATTCCTAAAATTGCATTAATTGAAAACTTATTTCCTGTGCATTTGCAAGCTTTGCTGTGTATTTGCATTTTTAACACTTTTGTAATGAACAGTTTCTGTTCTGCTTCTCAGGTTGTATAGAGTTTGGACATGAGGTATCTGGTAGAGACCAGCCAGTGAAGTTAATGCTGACCAGCCAGGACGAGGTCAGTAATGGGTTTTTCATTTATTTGTAATAATAATAATAATAATAATAATAATAATAATAATAATAATAATACCATTCGTATATTTAATACATAGATTGTTGTAGGTGAAATGGAGAACTTGGATATCATGTAAATTATTGTAATGAAATATTTACTTTCGTGAATTTCGACATGTATTTTCTTTATTTTCTCTTTCGTTGTGGTGATTCTTAAATGGTGTTTGGTATTGTCCTTTTTATAGAATATGAACTGATATGGGTTACCTGTTCCGTTTTGATGTATTTTATAAACTGTACATTTTATTTCTCTTTCATCATGCTAGTTTGTACCAAAAAGGAGGGTTTCAATTTTGTATATTCTTTTTAATGGAAGATCATTTTTATATAAGAATACACGTCTTTACTACAATTTCTTATATTTATTAACAGATTTTTGAAGAGATCAGAAATAGACATTTTACCAATGTGTTTAGTTTCTTGAGTGGAAAAGCAAAGGAGGTGCAATCTGGTTATGATGTGAGTAAATTTGTTTTTGTTTTACTCTTTAAAGACATTTGAAAAATCCAAATAAGCAGAGATGAGTAACCTTGCCAACACTCACATAGATTAAAATTGTATTTCTGTTGAAGATTAATTGTTGCTTGATTTGATATCTGCTTTTATCTAAGCTTGCTGTATTTTTAGTAGAAATCTGGTGAATGAAAGTGGTGCACACTTCACAAATTATTTTTTTGTATGAAGTAAGGTTAAGTAATGAAAATGACTTGAATTCCAGAAAAGACACCAGTTAGAATCGGTGCGTGACATGAAGGATTTTGTCGCAAATGACTTGAAGGATCTTAAACAGCAGCATAAATCTTTGGCTCTGTGTAAGTATGTACCCAGCACACATCCATATGCATTACTTAATAATTGACATATATTGAAATTATAAAGTATTTTAGAAAAGGGCACATCATTTGCCTGATTTGATAGAAAGTGTAGATGTGGTCCTGATCTTGGAATTCCAAGAATTCTCATAAATATTAGGTATGGATCTGTAAATGATACTCTCCTAACACTTTCTACTTGTAATTAGTAAAAAAGTTACTATGACAGGGCACATTTTCCTCTCATTTCAGTTATTGGTGCCAGTGAGGTGATCATGAGCAGGAAGACTAAAGGGATTGATTTTGAAGAACTTCTGAGAGTAGAATACAGTAAGCACTCCTCTTAGTAAGGTCTTATATAAATATAATGATTTGCCAAAATGATTTTCATTTTACAGTAAGTATGACTAGGGGTTCCAGCACTTTAAAAATTTAACTGGATGATTGGAGTATTTGGTCCCAACTCAGCATACTCAGTTAATTTTATTACTGATCAAGGTAATAATTGATAATAATAATAATAATAATAATAATAATAATAATAATAATAATGGATTAATCTATACTGAATTAAGTTTTTTCCTTAAGATAGAGCATTATAATTTTGTTTCTTGCTGCAATATAAAATGTTTTTTGTTTTTTCTTTTACAGATATGTTGGAAGGAGTCAGTAGAACAGAGAGTATAAATTATATTGAAGAAAGACTCAACAGACAGGTGAAATTAACTTGTGATGGTTTACAAATTTTAACATTTAATTGTCATATGTGATGAACTTAGAAAATGCTGTGAATTTTCAAATTATTAATTTTAAGCTCAAATGAGAAATAAAATGAAAGAATGGATGCCTTTATGGGCTGTTAACATTGATTTTTTTCAAATTTTTGATAATTCTAGTTTAATTGTCTGCAAACATTAAGGCTGCTCTGTTTACTGTCACTCACACAAGATGGAATCCCTCCCAAAGAATACAAGTCACTGAAAACTCAGTTTCTTCATGTAAGTATATAGCAGGTCTTTACTATTTCAATTTTATTTTCTATGTATCAGATGTTTTATATATTTTGTAGCTGGTTGCAGATCTCATGTTTTTAAATGCTTGCAGAACTTGTTCTATGTCTCTGTATTTCTTGTCCCAATAACTATATTCCTAACATAAAAGAGTATAATATGTAAATTAAAAACGGTTTTCAAAATCTTAATTGTATTGCAAGCGTGAAAATATATTCAAGTGAACAAACCTGAATGTAAGATGTGCAAATTTATTTACAGGCTGAAGGGTATGACTGGATGCTCACATTTCATAATCTGAAAAAACTTGGATTGCTGAAAGAACAGGCGGACCAACACAGCTACAAGTCAATAGGGGGCAGTAAGGGAGGCAAGGGGGCCAAGATGGCCGTGCCAAGCTTTGGGTCACTGACATGGAAGAGCTCATTTCAGACAGCATCAAAAAGTTTAAAACTGGTCAGTTGATTGGGGTTGGCTGATTAAGGGTATTCTGGGTACTCTGTACAAAACAGAATTTACTAGAAAATGATTTTATAATAAAATGAATAATTTGTGTATTGTGTTTGAATTGACTTATATGATATATGATATGATACAATAGGATAATTTAAACCTGTAATACCAGCTCCTGCTTGGACTTTCGAGTTGTTTACTTATTCATAGACTGAACAGTGGTCTCTTGAATTAATGTTTATGATGTACTAAGTTAACTGTGGTAGTCTGCAGATGCTAAGCCTTACAGCGTTTAAATAATATTTTACTATATAGCTCTGATAGCTCTGTGAGCATGATTTTTTTTTTTGGTTATTCAGATATTTATTGATAATTTTTTTTAAATTTAGATTCCTAAAGATACAGAAAACCTGGACCTGCGGTTCCCCACTGATATGTCTTATGTGTTTGGAGGTGCTTACACACCTCTTAGTTGTAAACTAGTGGAGCAGGTAATGTTATATGTTAAAAAAAAAAAGAACACCACACACAGTTGGAAATGTGTAAACAATATCAAATGAAAGACAATTGCATCAGATAATTGTTGTGTGATATATTTTAATTAAAGAAAATGAATAATATCTAGGATAAAGAAAATACATTCAAATTCAAGTAATTTTTAAATAATACAGGATCTATGAAATTTAAATTTCTCAGAATACTAAGTATTCACTGACTCAACAAAATTTAACTTTAAGTTAAAATATTAAATATAAAATATTAAAATACTACTACAAATTATTGACCAAACATTTGCTAGTTTTGGCAGGCTTTTTGAGTATTACTTTTTTATACTACCTATGCTCTTGTTCCAGATTCTGAACAAGTGCAGCTTTGAGGATGTTGATCCCGTACTCAAGACACTGTCCATACCACGCTTCAGTATGATGCCAGCTTCTGCAAGGTTTAAAGGTAACCGATTTGTGTGTTTGTGTATGTAAAATGTTGTATGGTGTTGGTTTAAAGGGCAATCATTAAAAAACACTTAGATTAATGCTAGGGGCTGGTTTCACAAAAAAAAAAAAAAAAAAAAAAAAATTAAATTGGACAAAAAATCCATAGGAATTGACTTAAATAAAGAATTGTCTGAAACATTAGAAATGTTTTTTTTTTCTGGTTATAAAACTGGCACAATATTTTTTAAAATTAAAGCACTGATTTATAAAAGTTAAAATAAGGTTAATTCAGTAGGAAAATGTGCACTCACGTCTCACAAATTTTAAGGTGTCAGTAGATTAAATTAAAGTTAAGCAGTTAAATTTAAAATATATGTATTTTTAGTATTTCATTTTCATGCTCATCATCATTTTTATAATTATATTGTTGTGACCGTTTTCTTAGTCCATAATAACTCCCTATTTCTTGCTGTTGATACACCATCAGTATTGAAAATACACTAAACTCAGACTCTGATTTGATCATTTATTTGATTCAGCTGACCCAAACAAATACCTTCGAGTAGTTCTTGTCTACTTTCTGGGAGGATGTACATATTCAGAGATCACAGCTCTTCGTTTTCTTGGCAAAGTCAAAGGTGGGTACAAAAAAACATTGGCTTTTAAGGCAATCTTCTACATTCATGTGGTCGTTTACCGATAAAACAGGGTATAAAAATATGGCTATAGGTTGTTTTATGCCCAATGATTTCACACAGAAAGCAAGTTAATCGGTGTCAGCATGAATTTAGTCCTTCCAACCCTTGTGCCTGCTGCATGATTTAGAATACAACAGTAAATCAAAATAAGTGGCTCACGAGTGAATAACGAATAAGGAAAAAATTGCTTGCAATATTTGACTTTTTTTTTCAGGTTACAAATTTATAATTGCCACCACTTCCATAATCACAGGAGCAAGGTTGTTAGACCAAGTGACTGAAGTAACTCCCAAGTGAAACCAATTCATTCCAGTTCAACCTGATGTGCAATATTTAGTGAGGTTGCCAACAACTTATTTTTTTACAAATGTGAGTCTAATATTTTACATGTTATTGGCAGTAGTATAACAACCAAAAACAATTAGGAAACGACAAGTAACAGAGCACAGAATGTGTTTATGTAGCCAAGTTGGTTACGGTACCTTGAGCAAAAGAACAAAATTAAAAAAGGACATTTCTACTCATTAAAATCGGCTTTAAAAAATCTAACTGAGCTACAGGGGTGTATGATCAAATGTTAGACACCATGTATGGATGGAATAAAGATTTAGACACACCCATGTCCAAGGGATCCACAGTTCCCACAAGCCTTCTGTGTAGACAACTTCATTGTCCTCTCATGCTTTAACATATTCATAGAAAGAATGGTATCAAAAGTATGATCAAACAAAAAAGCTTGCATCAGATGAAAAAGTCTCTTTAATGCTTTGATGGTGTTTGTCACACAAATAAATTGCTTATCAGCTGCTTGTTAAGCAGTCACTTCACTTATCATTACGCATGAATGCATAATTTTATACCTTCTGATATACAGTGTTGAAGTTTTTGTATAGCTCAATGAGGTATGGCCAGGCCATATCATAACAATAGTTGCCAGATTAAGATATGATTTTAGCATCCACTGCTGTAGTCGTTTTACTCATTATAAAATGTGGATAACTGGTTTTTGTTATTAAATGTAAGCATATTTGCACTTTTCCAGAGTGAAGATTGCACTTGAAGAAAATTATTTCAGTCTTTGCTCCCAAGCTCTTTGAATATTTCTGGGAAGTTCTTTTCTTTTCCATGAATGAGCTTCATAAATAATTCCTTTTGTATCCTAAAAAATGAAAATGAAATCTCTTGAACGCTAAAATGTTACTTCTAGCAAAATTCAAAATCTGCTAGGAAACTAATATATATTAAATATTTAAAATCAAAGTTTGATTCATTTGTAAATCTAAACAGCATTAATAATTACTTGAAAGTATTATACAAAACCTAGCTTGATATAGAACATTTTAACTGGACACACACCTTTTCTCCTCTAATATCCTCTCAAGTTCATGAGATTTTCTTGTGGCTACTTGGATGACATTGTCTGGTACATTTGCTAATCTGGCAACATTTAAACCATAGCTTTTTGCTGCCATGCCTGGCACTAAGTGATACAGAAATGTGACTGTATCACTGTTGTCTTTCTCTTCTTTCTTTTCACCTAAATGAAAAATAAAAGGTGCATGTGTGTGCAAGCGTCAGTTAACTTATGCAGGTTTGTTTATCAAATATCTGTTAACCAAATATTGTAGGTTTAACCAATAATATGAAAATTGCTACAATATCAGCTCACTATTTATCTGCTTTCACACGGGCAGATAAGACAATTTTAATTCTTCAGTTCAGAGAGTATCAAATATTAAAATATACACATAAACTTTCACTGTGAAACAGGCCCTAGTGACATGTACTCACCTGAAGTAGTGTCATTGCCGAGCAGAAATGACATGTGGTAGTTGGCCACACAGCCAGGCAGCAGGGTCTCCAGTGTGGACAGGAGAGGATAGTGGGTGACAAACAATGTCAAACATTTCACCTACAGCAACAAAAGTACACCTTATTAGCTAACAATGATTTTTTGTCTTTATTTTATTCATATGTATTATATTAATAACATGATTCTAAGTGGAAAGTAATAATGCTTTAAATCTTATCACAAAAAATAAGATAAAATTCAGGGTGATCTTAATTTAAGTGTAACATAAACAGTACACCAATTTCTCAATATTAAACAATATAAACTTACTTCTTTCACAAACAATTTCTCCAAATTAAACAATATAAACTTACTTCTTCCACAAAGTACCTGAGTGTAGCATAAGCAATGGCTACTCCATCATGTGTGCTGGTGCCACGGCCCAGTTCATCCAGTATGACTAGGGACTGCTCTGTGGCATGAGACATGATCTCTGAGGCCTCTTGAAGTTCTAGCATAAATGTACTGCAGTGCTGGTATATGGCATCAGAAGCACCCATTCTGGTGAAGGGGAAAAGAGAATGAACCTATTATGCTTTAAGCACTTCTTAAAAATTTGAAATATTAAAAAAAAGTTAGACTCATCAGTTGTTTGAATGAAGCACTAATTTACTGCAATTTATCATGACATAGGCATAAAATCTGAGAATATTTAATCACAATTTAATATCCTATAAAATTTTTTTCCATAACTTGTGTACATCACAACAGTCACAGACATCCTAATCTTGGTATTTTAAGTCTTCATGAAGTATTCACAGTTCTCAGCCCACCTTGTATACACGGCATCCAGGATGCCCACAGTCGCAGCTTTGGCGGGAACATAGGAACCGATCTGGGCCATGATGGAGATCAGCGCCACCTGCCTGATGTAGGAACTTTTACCACCCATGTTAGGCCCTGTGATGATCATGCAGCGCTCGCCACTGCCCTGAGAATAACAAAGTTTATTATTCACAAAACAAAATGTGGCATGACAAACTGGCATGTCTGTTTGCAATTTTCTGACAGATTAAAATTTTGGGGACAAAATACTCTATGTAGTGTTCTCAACAACTTCCCTTTCTTGCTACCCAATGTGAACTTTATCTGAACATGTCTGCGAGTAACACCCATTGTAGATCACTTCTTGCCATCTCTCATTCTCATGAATCTGTGTTACAATAAATGTCACATATTGCTATAACTGCGCAATGTACATGGTGTAAACATTGTATATTTAAGATTTACATATCTTAACAATTCAAAAAATTGACACAAAACACTTCCCTTGGGCTTGCATCCTCTCAGACTATATGATACTAAACCAAAGTTGTATTCCTCTCCAAGGCAGTATTAAACATGCGGGTTAGTCTATTCTTCAAATTTCAATGATACCAGTGAAAGAAACAGTAAAATAGACTCTAAAATACACAATATATAACCACCAGTCAGTGTCTTCTTACATCTAACTTAGTGCCATTGGGGACATACTGGTCCTGCCCATCAAGTAGTAAGTCAACCACAGGGTGGCGTCCTTCTTCTATCTGAATCACTGCCTGGTCTTTTACAAAAGTTGGCCTACAAAAAACAACTCTCAGTTTAAGCTACCTAACAATATGGCTAAATAGAGTAAAATAAATCTACTGGCCAGTTTGTCTGTCTGCATAAAATATTTTTTCAAAAAAGTTGTGGCAGCTGGCTTAGATGCTACATCAAATCATTTGAAGTTCAAAGGCTTTTTCTTAGAGGTAGATACAGCTGTGATGTACTCGTAACTAGTCAAATTAGTGTTTGTACTTTTTAGGTTCTAAACATGTTTTATAAGCTACCCAAAAGAAAGAAAAGACCAAAGAAAACTTTCATGTTGTATAAATCATGAACTGTCACCAATTACAGTAAGATTGAATAATTCAGACAATGTCAAGAGTTAGCAGTTAGCTTACAAATTGTAGTAGAAATTGACAAATTTAGAATATAATTTAGTAAAGGCAATTTTTTAAATGTAATCTTTGAGAGTTCTAGTTTTATATGTTGACTTCTTAATGTATTGAAACGTATCACTTTAAATTCAACTGCTATATGGTAAAGGAAATAACTAACCGTACATAGCCAGCTAACTTTGCCACTGTAGCTAAAGAAAAGAGACAGTCCAAAGTAGCCAAGTTGCCAACAGCAGTCCTGTATGCCAAATAGTGCTCTCCAAACTGTCTGGAATTATAATAGTAATCATACTCAAACTCAGAATATCTGTCATCCAACAGACTGAACTTGAGTCTTTCCTGGTAAAATATTACACTGTATCATAAAATTTCACTTCACTTAACTGTATTTTTCTACTGAACTTCTATAAATCTTTTTATTATTTTGAATCTTTTTATTATTTGAAAATAATAAGTGTATAAAANGTCACCTTTTCCCCCCCTGGACAAACAACAAATATTAAGGTTTTCATTCCATTATCCATGCGCAGTACATTCTGAAGGGTGGTTACCTTTATTTCCATTGGAAGTGTAAAACTCTGCTACACACTGAAGAGCTCTGCTGTATTCAAACTTATCATTTTTCTGATGTTCCACTCTACATCTGTCACTGTCATTAACACTAAAACATAAAAAATTATACAACAAATACAATCAGTGAAAATATACTGTACCGAGCAATAGTGTTTTGACTCTACCTAGATGTTAACCCAAATATTACAGTAAATATGCAAAAAAATAAGTTCTGGTAAACATACAAAAATTGAACAAACTTTAAAGCATATAAAACTGTACACAACATGACTTCTATATGATTAATAAAAGAAAATAATTAACACAAGATTTCTATAATATCATGGCTGCATTTGATTACAAAATTAAGGTTTTGTATTTTCTTTCTTCTAAAAATGACTCTGAATATCCTAAGCCTCCCTGATTTTCAGAGATTACTGGAAACAACAGTGACATGCTGATAGTGGAAGTTAGTTTCCAGTAATCTCTGAACCTCAGGGTAATCATAGCTCACCATGAACTGGTATAATGGCTAATGAGTTTCTTCGTTTCCTGACTACATGCCAAAGGAAGGAGGATCTCCACAGGCTGAATGACGCCAAGTCTGGTCTCGAGCTCTGTTCTAGAACTGTTGTCTGTGAAACTGTCATATATGATATCCCCTGTAGATGGCTGCACAGCCTTAAACAGAATTGTAAATGGAATATTTCAGTCTGCCTTCTCCACAATGATGGTTAATTTAAGACATAAAATTAAACAGCTAATTTTGCACCCTGTACAATAATAAACAAATGAATCACATTTTGTCCAACACTTCTTCATTTAAATAAATAAATAATTTTCTTAATTATTATTATTTTTTATTTAGTGCAACTTTTAAATAAAAAAAACAACATTTGTGGTATTAAATACAAATTGTATTGTTTTCTTAAAAATACTGATATGGTCAATGATTTTCATGGGAGTGGACCTTCCAGACAGCAGCATTTAGAACAGTGACAAGTTTCCACCTACCACACAGCCTAATGTAATATTGCCACTGCCTTCTTCCTTCATCTGAGCTTCACACAGGCACAGCAGGTAACAGTTAGGGCTAATATCACCTGATGTGCCAGCAGAACAAAGTGGATCTACATCTAAAAAAATAGATAAATAATAAATATATTTAAAAAATCAGGATTATCGAGCATTACAAGTTCTGCATTTCTTTATTTTCAATTTAAGTACATTTTACAAAAAACTGTTTACCCATTTGTTTTACTTACATTATCAAAGTGCAGTTTTTTACATGTGAATGTATTTTAGTCTATGGTAAAACAATATTTCCTTATTGGTACTTTGGTAAAATAACTGAAAAGATGCTTCATTCATTCATAATTAATTCTGACGATACCTTCACCAATGAGAGTAGACTTTGTATAAAGAGCAGAAAGTTCCCTGGTAAACGGTGCACTCTTGTTCTCTCCTGCAGCTTTCAGGGCTGCTGTCTCTGTCTGCTTTACCACTCCCACCTGATCCAAAAGAAAATAGATGGGCTTTTGAAATATTATAATGTGCTCTATAATATAAAATTGAGGATATCAATCTCAATGTAACACAATTATTAGTATTATGTAGCCAGCAATATCAAAGAGGGGGTTCTTTTTTGGAAAAAGTAGACCTTTTACTATGAAACTTCCATGAACCTATATCAAATTTTACCAAGAGTGGACCTTCTCAGCAAAAAGGATGGTTCTTTCCAACCCCCCCCCCCCCTTTTCCTACAAACCATCTCTTTTCAAACTGGTAATAATTTCATTTGAATGAAGTTCAGGTTCAAAAACTTTTGGGATCACCTTGTAGCCAGCTGCCACCAGTCTCCTCACATGAACAAACAGACGGTGGGTTGGTATGCTGGCTGTCATGAAGTTATGGTCCATATGGCAGTAAATGTTCAATTCTTTTGCTGCAATCTAAAAATGAGAAACAGAATTTTGAATTTTAGTTCACAGAACAATTTCTTCTAAAAAAATAACTTATAAAAAAGTTTACAGTGCCTAGCTCAATAATTGTGTTGAAATATTATACATACTTCAACTTAGCAATGTTCTTTTTCTTCCTGTCAAGTATTGTCTTTCAAAAATTAGCGTAACTTCCTTCCACCATTTTTTTTTAATGAGGGTGAAACCACTTAAAACTGGCAATGAATATGATTTGACACAAGAGCAAGAGATAACAGATGGTCACATTTACTGTATAAATGACCATACCTCTGCATCATCTCCAAAGAACCTGTATTTATATCCACATTCCACAAAAAGCACAGTGTGTGGGTGTTTGCTCTTGATTTCCATGAACTGCAGCTCCAGAGGTGTGTACTGGGACTTGGACCGCTGGTTAACTGTGGCACCATCTTTAGACCTGTCGCCATGTCCTCCTTTTACGCCTGATTTAAAAGTATTCTGCAAAGTTAATTTGTCACTTTGCTGGGAGCCTTCACCATCACTGCTAACAAGGTTTAGTGAATTTTCAAAAGATAAAGCATTTGTCCCTTCACCATCAGATTTGATATATCCGTCATCTTGGGCAGGATGGGTATCTTCAGCAACCCCAGTCAAGGCATTACTTTCACGCTGTTTCGGTTGCTTGGTGTGAGTATCCCAGTCTTTGGTTGCTGAAAAATTCTGGAGCTTAGATTTAGTTTTTGTTGAAACTGGTCTTGGGGGAGTGACATCTTCAAGGTTTTTTGTATGTGATGACACTGGTGTTTCACAATCCACATCTGACCTGGTTGACACATCATATTTTTGCCTCTTGGGCAAATTTTGCTTTTCAGTGCTGACATCATGGATAAGTCTCTTCCTTCCCACTCCTTCACTGTGGACCTAAAGAGCAAAATTACCATTATTTAAGTGGTGGTGTGCATGCATTACTTTTCTTCATAGTGTTTTTGAAATTCCTGTTTTAAAAAACTGGTAAATTAATCTCAGTTTTTTACAGGTTGTAACCAAACTGCACATACTGTTCAATAGCAAATTCAAGAATTGACAGTGTCAGACATGAGCCTAGGTTTCAAAAAATTAAAATAAATAAATAAATAAAATGAAAAACCTCTGAACATTTATCATCGACCCAACACTAACCAGCAGTGGGTCTGAATTGAATTAAAAAACGTGAAATTCCGTGGAAAAAGCTCACGTCTGAGTGTGGTCACCATGAGTATAAAATTCTAGAAAGGGCAGTGACATGTTTATAGTAGAGAGGTGAGTTTCCAATGGCCTGGGAAAATCAAGGTAATATTTTTCTATATAAATAATAAACATCATATGTAACACCATTATACCGGTCAGTACAGCAAAACCATGCATGGATAAGGTGAAATCATTAAGGATCGGGATATGCAAAGTCCGACGAAATAACGTTATGTATCAAGAAGTGTGCAGGAAGAATACGGCCAGTAAAAGTTGCTACCTTCGTCGATTCCACCGCCGGAATCGAGTTGAAAGCTGATGGTGAAGCTACAGGTACGTGTATGTTTACATCAGCAGCATCGTCTTTTTTCGGTTTTACACAGAAAAACTTTGACAAAGTTACTTGTTTCTTTGATGGGTCTCTTTCTCTTAGTTTGCTCAAGTTCGGCGTCTTCGGCATTTTGCTGCCAGTGGAGGGCAACTCACGCGCATCAGGGATAGTTTTGCATTTACTTCAGCATCCAGAACGTGATCGTGTTTCGCGCCATTTGCACTACGGCATTGTGGGAAAACATATTTGTTGATTGGATCTGGGGAAGATCGTCAAGGTAAGGAAACGCTTCATGCATGTGTATCTATATTAAATGAAATCTAAAACAGAACCCAAGTATTGGTTATGAAGTCCTTATGAACAGCTGAAAACAGCCACATCTAATCACGCTTAGAATTTTATTATCTTTTGTTATGTGAAGATTGTCTCGATCTGTCAATGCGTTAACTCCGCAATGAATTGATTTTTTTCTAAATCGCAAATCTTATGTACAAGTATTCATTCTTATGTACGGGGAAGGTGCCCTATGACTTTGTATTTAATATACATATTCATCTAAGAAGGAAAAGCTTGTCGAATAAATAACGTGCCGGTACCGGTGCATTTGTATACTAGCATACTGTTTGGGGGTAGTCGGCTCATGCCTTAGTTAAACTACCTCAGATCAAAATAACACGATCCAAAGCTGGGCCCCTGGGTACGTGTGTTTTGACAGCGCCCCTAGTTAAGAGCTGTGAGCTTGTTAGTGGGACGCTCGGGGTTGAGATTTAATGCTCAAGATCCCTTAGTTTTCCTTCGTTACGTATGTGTGAGGGAGTGATTTGATATATCAGATTAAGGCTATATCTGATGGAGAGTGTGTGCGTAGCTGTGTACAGCGTACTGCATGAGGCGTCTCACCTCAGCGTGGTGTAGAGAGAGGCGTCTCACCTCTGTATGGAAGTGACCAAAGAAAGGTTGTACGGGTCGTACAGCCTGGAAGGGGGGGGGGGTTGGACTGGTTGCAGTATAATAGTCTTGATGCTGTGTTCATATATTTATTACACTGACAGTAGGCGAGGTACCAGTGTAGTGACCATGGCTAACCCAGCTGCCAAATTCCCCAACCGAAGGGTCACTTGTCCTGGGCTGCGGACAGCCCCACCGTCTGACCAGGTACTGGACAGGATGATCAGTGACATTGACTTACAGTTGCAGGAAAATGCTAAACAGTAAGTACTAGTACAGTATAGTCAGTCCTATAATTTTTATGAGTAAAATCAGTCTTTTAATTAAAATCAGATAATCTGTTTGATTTGATGGATTCTTATTCACTGGCAGATTAAGGAGGGGGGGGGGGTAGAAGGGGAATGTCCCCCTCCCTCCTTTGTGGTCTCATATTTAACACCAATAATTCCACTCTTAAGAGATAATTCACTATTTTTTGCCTGGACTGCTGATTCAGTTATGTTTCAAATTACCCTTTCTGTTTTAACAAATGTGTAAGTACAGTACTGTACTGTACTGTATAATCTAGCTGTATATATATTTATGTCTCTGCTATATACTAGTATACAGTATTTTATCCCTTTCACAGACTTGAAGGTTGCATTGAGGATATTCTGAAGTTGACCAGTCAACTCCCTGGTGGACGTAACTTCACTCTGGCCAAGGAGGCTGTGGATTATACAGCCAATAGTCATATACTGGAAAAGAGCTCTTGTTATGATCCTGACCTGGAACAAGTCTCTAACCTTTTCAGACATGTGGTATGCAATTTAACAAATAGTAGATTGAAGACTCCAAAAGATCTCTGGTGTTACCCCCCTCCTTGTTTTATTAATTTTTTGTTAAATGAATTGAAAGGAAAAGGGCAGTGGTTATTATTTTAAAAAGATTAAAATCACTTCTTTCCTCATGAATAAGTAAACATCCTGAAAATTATGACAATTTGTGAATAATATTTTGACACACACATATATAGAGGTACTGATGTTTACACAGACTTGTTTAGATGCAATGTTGATATTATAATATCTTTGCAGCTGCGCCAAATGGATGAGCACCCTGGCTCTGAAGAAGCCATCTTGGAATCCTTGCTCCAGCTGTCATCTCAGGAAGGGATCACACTCCCCCTGCGCTCTGCACGAACAGAACAAAACTTGGACTCTGTCCTCTCTTTGGGGGCTATCTGTGATGTCAATGAACAGATCAGTGAATCTCTGTGGAATGACATCAAAATCCGCTTGAAGAAGTTTTTCCTTGATAAACTGAATAATTTGCCATTGGAGCCTGACTTAAGTACAGTGAAAGTGGAAGGAGGGAAAAGGATGGACTATTTGAACAGTCTGTGTTGTCTGAATACTGCAGCAGAGGTGAGAAATATGTGATGGTTGATTGATTATGGTCTATTGGACATGTGTGTGCACATGTGCGCATGCAAGCACTGAGTAGGCACATACACACATGTACGAAGGCATGCATTGACACACACACATACAAACACACACAGATTGAATTTAAATTAAGAAGTTTGAAATAGTGTTTTTCAAATATTAGTACACTCTTGAAAAGACAACAAATTCAAATTTATCTTCTAGGTGTGGAAGAGTTATAGATCTTTGCGGTCCCAACAACTGCAGAGGATGATTAATAAAAATCTTTACACAGCTGAGGGGAATATGCTGGAGTTTGAAGCTCAGTCCACGGCTTGGGAATCTCTCAGTGCCACTGTTATCAGTATGATCAATGAGGACTTTGCTATTCTGAACTCTGGCATATTTGCAAGGGTTGTCACAACCTTTGAGTGCCTGCACCTCATTTACCAAGAGAGGCTGTCTGAAGAAATAGGAAACATTGCAGAACGACTTCAACACGAGTTGCCAGGGTTGGAGGAGCAAGCTTCTGCTGCTCCCTCTAGTGAGAGGAAAATTCCAAAGTCGGAATCCAGACATGAGTTTGGTCCTGTGGCTAACGTGAAATCTTTACTGAGATCACACTCAAAGAGTTTGGACAGTCTGTTGGTCAAGGGTGACCTGTTTCCTGATGTCAGCAAGTCGGAGCCTGTTTTATATTGTTTTGTCCGGCTGGTCAGAGCTGTGTGTGCCATCGAGAGCCATATTGATGACCTGCACAAGACTATGATCTGGGAGGTGGTAAATAAAACCAAAAAGAAAACAAGTACTCAAAAGACTGGAATAAGAGGTAAGCTGGATTCACAGAATAACTTAAGTCCAAAAATTGGGCTAAACTTTTAGATCAAAATTTTTGCTGAATAAGTCGAAGATATATAAAATGATTTAATTGGACTAGCACTGATTTATCTTGTTCAAACTAACCTATGTTCAGGACTGCGGGTGGGGCTCTTTTGAGAAACAGGCCCCTGGACATAGTTTTTTTTCACAAAAGAACTTCACTTATAAGTGAAAGATTAAAAAAATTGAGGTTGTTGGAGATTAAGTTAAGTAAGCTAGGCTGAATATTAAAATGAGATCTTTTACATGACTGTTTTAGCTCAAAAGTATATCAGAAAGATCAGACTGATAATATGTGGTATAGTGTGGATTTGTTTGTTAATTTGTTACTTTATTTACAGGTGTATTGAAGAGTGGAAGTACATCTGAGTTGGCAACGCCAAAGCAATCTGTGGAAGGATTTTTTGGCAGTTTAAGTCTTGATGATTCACTAACAACTAGTCTTCAAGGTATTTAATGTGTGATTGTTGTGCCAAGAGAGTTTCTCTCTCTTTAAAATAAAAATTGCGTAAGATGAAAATTTGCTATTACTTCATTTTACAAAAGTGGGGATGAGTAACAGCCTTAAAAACATTTTTTTGTCTATATAACCTGTTATGTCACCAAGACTCCCTTGTATATGTTTCTTAAAATATTTTGTTCAGCATCTGTATTCATGCCAATTTTGCTGTCTAATTGAATTTTTCTTGTATCAGTGGTTGAGAAGGTGCCAGAAGAAGAGAAGCCTCGCTGGAAGTGGCGGCGCTACTTCAAACCCGTGCTACCACAACTAGCCAGGTGTCTGGAACAGTGCATTCGCAATGCTGGCACCCAGGCCATGGAGGCAGAAAAACAGGCAGTGGAGACATCTGGTGGGCATGTTGATGCTGAGAGGGTGTGCCCTCTGCTGGTGGGAGGAAGACTAGACTACCCAACCTGTATTCCTAAAGTATGTGTTCCAAGTTTTAGCTGTGTTTGAAATGCGACCTTGTTTCCTATGTTTGATTTGTATCTCATGGCAAAGGTGTGATTCAAAGCAAGTGGTTTGATAATACACAACTTATTAAAATAAAGTCTGTACTTTTTGCCTGCCCTGGATCCTAAATTAATGTAAATATGACCTTTGTGGCATATGAAGTGGAATAAGGTTGCATGGTGTTATTGTCAATAATCTTTCATTTATAAAAGAAAAATTTATATTTAATTATTTTATTTGTTAGTATTGATACATTTTAGAGTGTTCAGCAGTTCATGTCCAGTTTAGACAGAGTGTTACCTCTAGCTTACCACTGGTCAGAAGGTCAGTATCAAGTGATCAGGACCACTTTTGTAGATGCTACAGTCCTCCAGCTGAAAGATTTCCACAGATGGATAACAAAGGTAAAATGAGAATACACTGTAATTCTGTAGTGACTCTTGACTTCCTGTATACTTGTCCATCTGTATTTCAATGATCTATGTAAATATATAATTGTGAAACTGGGTAAAAGAGCTGCATAAATTTAATGTGTAACTTTACAGTTTTACATACTCAGGGATGAGATTTTTCTATCAGCAGATTTCTCACTTTTTTTGGAGTCAGTAATATCATTGGCGTAGGCAGCCCGTGGACCTCGCGTCACATTTTCTGACTTTTTCACCAAATGGCAGCCTCATCCCTGCTAACTACAGCTATTGAATGTTTCAGCTTGGCCTAGAAACTCCAAAGGAGAAGACAATACTTCAGACACTGTACTTGTCTCTGTCTGCAGCTGCCTTCATCAGAAATCATCTCCTCCATTATGAAACAGTATTAACTGGAGAAGACACCAGGTAACCTCAAACAATGGCAACTGTCATGTCCCATTATGGCCACTGTCATGTGACATTATCTTATGTATATGATTTCATCTTTTGAGCCACATCTAATTCTTGTGGTGAAAGAGTGTAAGAGATTTTACTTTCAAAATAAAACACCTGTCGCCTGTTGAAGATTAAAAAAATTGTGTCAATTATTGCACTGCCCAAGTGCCCTGCACACTGAAGGAGGTGTAGAATAAGAAATGGCAGTAGTTGCAAACAAACCACACCCTTTTTCTGCCTTATCAAATTTAGAAGTTGCTTTATTTGAGACTTGCTTAAAAGGGCTAGATTGCATTCTTGGTGTTTGTCAATTTAAAAGCTTGATAGCTATTTTATAAAAAAAAAAATGGTTAGATGTACTCTTAGTTGCATAGCAATTTATAGACTTTATAAAAGATATATTTGGACTTTTCTGTTAACCTCTCTTTGATAAAAATAAAAGATACAAATAAAGAATCATTTGGCAAGATAATTGACCTGAAAAAGACAAAATCTGACTGATGGTACCTATTCGGTGATATACCCCTGCCTCGCTGAGTTTTAAGCGTTGAATTGATTTTATTACATTGTAGATAAATATTGATCATTATCATTTAATTAAGTCTTATCCTTCATTGAGTAGTTTTCTGAGCTGTAATACTTTTGTTGTTGTTGTTTCTTATTTTTTGTAGTTTTTAGTTATTTCTATCAGTTAAATCATTCATGTACCCTCAGCAGCTTTTAGTTCTCGCTGCACTCTGCTCTGCTTTCAAAGGTCTGACTTTCCATAATTTTACTTTGGTGTGATTTTATTTCAGAGAGGTGTTAGTTGATCCTCTATTTCATAAACCTAGTGCCAGGTAATGCATGTGTTCAGGCTTTGAAAAATAACACGTTTATCTGACAGCTAGCAATTTGTCTCACTTTTGAAAGAATATCTATTCACAGCTTGTTTGATATTATTGAAATTTTTTTGTGTATGGAGTTGCTCCAAAGGTTTTGCTAACTGAAGCACTATTGGTGGTTGTATAATATAGCATTTTGCATGCATATAAATAGATACAGACACATATAGTGTCTGTATGTATTCTGATAACTTCTACATAAATCTGACTGCTCCAGCAATATACTAAAAAAAATGCAGATGATAATTGCATTGTCCATGACCATGACTAAATATGAATTCATGCTTGTGTCATTTTGAAGTCTGACCTAAATATTTAAATAACGTTTACATATTAAATAACTGTTTAAGTTGAAATGTGCTAAGAATTTGTATGAACAAAGTGCAAGTTTGAAAATCAGCTTTATTACCTTAGAGAAAAAACATCAGCATTTTTTTAAAATATGTATTTTTGCATTGTTTACTACAAAACTGCCCCCCCACAAATATATGATATTAAATAAAGAGTTTCTGTGAGCATACATCTGAATCATTATTTTAGAGTCCTTAATGTTATTGCTAAAATTTTTTTACTTTATATACATCATATATGTCTGTATATTTTTCAGCTTTGCTGTTTTGTTATTGTTGTGATGCAGTGAATGCTTTGACAACTAACTGCTGACTTTTTGAAAATTGACTTTGTTTTAAGCATTCAAAGTCAATCAACTAAAGCTCAGCATAGATTGAAATATGTATTTTCTAATTGCACTTTTAATATTAAATCTGTGTGTATCAACATTTATGCCAGCAGTGATTAACACCATATTGTAGTCATCCCACCATTTCCATTGCACTCTCTAAAGAACCATTTCCTTAATGAAATATTTACCAACAATTAACTATATATCATGAGATGGACTTAAAATCTCATCCATAAGCTTTTAAAAATAATTTCACAGTTAGATTTTATCTTGAATATTCTCTTCTTTTGGGCCATAATTGCCTTTACATTCAATTCTCTTCTTTTATGTCCTTATTAGATGGCTTTATGGTGTAGCACGTGACAACTTTGATGCACTCATTTTTGTGTATTGTGACACTGACTGCAGTTTTTGATACATTTGTTCAGTTTAAATATATATATTTCTGGAAATCAGATAAGATTGCATTGTTTTGAGAGAGCTCCTCAGAATATCAAACCATACACCCAAATTATTTTTGTTCCAAATATTGGAAATTTAAGCAAAAGTTGTGCTTTTTGCATTTTTTTAAAATGATTCAAAATACCTCTCACTATTCTAATATGTTCCTCTTTTTATTTTCAGTAAAAAGGTGTTTGTGACAGTATATCGCCAATACTGCCACCTGGTGGAGAGTCTATCCCAGCATATTGTAGACTTCCACAATAATGTTCTCATATCTGGACTCCTGCATGATGCAGAGAGCCATCATTTTGCTGATGGCAAAGAATTTTATGAGGTAAGTGTTTTTTGTTTACTTAATAAATACAAATTTGAAAAGAAAATAATGGAATCATCTGGAAGCGATTGCAGCATTTGAGAATTTAAATGCCAGTCATGGTTACCAGGGTTTCCGGAAAATATAACTTACAATTACCAGCACTACCAAGACCAGGTGTTTTAACAGATAAATTAGTTTTCAACTGAAAAAAAACTGTGCTCATTTTCCAGGATGAAAGGTGCTCTTTCTCCATCCAGATGTGGAACCTCCACATGCAACGCCTTCAGCAGGACCTATGGTCAGTCTGTCCACCTAGACTGGCTCAGAACATTTACACCGCTGTCCTACAAGAATCTTTAGCCATCTTTGCCCTGAGGTACAGCAGGATTAAACCATCATACAGAAGGACAAAACAATTTAGGTGAGATGGTGCATTATGGGAGCTACAGTGTGGTATTCGGCCATGTTTTTAGTGTCACATGGTTTCAGAGCTTCTTTTTCAGCATTTTTATAAGTTAATGTGTATTTTTGTTACCGTATAGCTTCTTTTTTGTCATATTTATGTAAACATTTGTGAAAAACATGGCCAAAAACTGCTTTGCATCCATAAACAACTTAGCAGCAATCTGTGGTGAATAAAAATTGACATCGCTTATAGAAATTGCCATGTCTAGCAGCCTGCTACATGCATGTTTTAACTATCATATTTGGTTTTTATATTTTCCAAAATGATAACTATTAGTGTTGTTCATGATTTTGTTCTCTCACATTTTAGGAGTGACATAACTACCATCTTGTTGTGCACTTCCCAGCTGGTCATCCCGTCCTGTGACAGTGTGTCCAAGCTGGTTGATATATGTCCAGTCTACCAAAACCTCTGGTCAATCCACAATCACTGCAGTACCTTATTGTCCACTCTGGCCATTGTTACCTCTCCACTGGACATCCTCTACAAGTGAGACATTTTTTTTATTTTTGTGTAATATTTGTCAATATCTTGTCAGTGATGCCCAGATATTCAGATTCTAGCTGAGGATCTTAAACTGTGACTGGAGCTGCTCCAGCCTTTTTATCAAACTAACATCATGATGTAGTATGAAAATATCAAATGGATCATTGATGCTTTTTAGTTTAAGTTCTGATCATCTTTTATACACACCCCATATTAAAACAATTACTGAAATGACCATTTACTTGAAAGATGTTCCATTTGATCGTCTTTGACATGGTTTTGTATTGCATTTTTGTACATGATTTAAATAATCTTTACTTCAATTTAAATTTTCATAATTCTTGACAGAATTTTCAAAAGAGGATTGCATGGCAAGAGGAAAAAGTCTGAGGCTAGAGTTTCATCAAGTTTGCCACAAGGCCACCCCTGCCAGTGGCTTGGATGGATACACCCAGGTGTTTTTAAGTCAGATTGGAGAAGGTAAGGCCGCTGTTGTATTACAGGATAGTTACAAGGCTTGATTTTAACTGTGGTTTTCTCGTATGTTTTTCTCTTATGTCAAAATTAGTATGCACCTTTTAGGATTATATCCATGATTTTATTCTCCACTAAAAAGTTATCAGCAAGTTATTGATGGTGAGGCAACACTGTCAGCAGTGAAGCATAACAAGTATGAACTTACTCATAAAAACTACATGTTCATGTCCATAAAATGTGATGTAGAAATAAACTTTATAGTCATTAAGCAGAAAAGTGGAAATAAGTGGTCACATTAAAGTTTTGGTAAACCATATTTTCAGTGTTGTAAGAAGTTTTATTTGTAAGTTCACATTTTAAAATTTCTCCTGCACTACTGATACTTGCTAGTTCAGAACTTCAACTACCACAGCCTTGCTTAAAAAAAAACAAGCAGCATTTCCAATATTTTATAATTCTTAATGCATCACTATGCTCACAAAACATTCTGCTGTATTTTCTAGCTATGATGACATGCAGACCACCACTGCCCTGTACCTACAGCTGTCTTTACTAGCCAGTCAGCCAGAACCTGCATGGATGTTGCTTTTGCAGGTAATATATAGACTAAAATATGATATAAAACAAACAAAATTTAAGGGCTCTTGGTAACAGAAATGTGAACATGTTTCCTAGATGTATAAGTTGATCCATTGTTATTATTTTACTGGTGTAAGTGCACCTCCCCAGGTAGATTTATAGGTGACAATACTAATCACTGAATAAAAGTACTTTTAAGTACTTAAAAAAGCACTTTACTGTTACTACTGTTACTACTTCTACTACTGCTACTAATTAATATTATTATAACAATCATCATTGTTGTGTATATTGCTATTATGATGTTGATGATGAAGTGAAAGTCAGCTTTGATAGTCATTACCCAGTTAACAAAACAATCATTGCCATTGCAGACATTATTGATGAAGGATGTGACTCTTCCTATCATGTTGTTAACCCACTATGCCACTAACAAGTTGCCTGCTCAGACTCCCCCAGATGCCCAGCAGTGTGGTGGCATGGGGTGTTGTGAGAAGGGCTGCCCTCACCTCTGTGGTCAGCCGCAAAGCCTGTACCAGCCTTTCTTTGATGTGCTCGTGCGGTGCGATCATATCCCAGATGCTTTGGCCAATGTCATCTTACCTATAATAGACAGGTATGCTTTTAAGTCTTTGTTTTCACTGTAATTTTGAAGTTACCTAAACTACTATCACTAAACACCACAGGCCAGCACCACAAAAAATTTGTAAGTTCTTGTGCAAAACCATAGAAGTTTTCTACTTCTGTGGCTAAACTAAGGGCTCATTTCTAATGAAAATAGTTCTTCGTAAATCGATCCAACTCCATGGGGACTCTTGTTGAATGCAATAAGATTAACAGATTAAATATATCTTAATAGTTGTTTAAATTTCGTTTACTTTTAGATATTTTTTAATTTGTTAGAAAGCATTTACTTAGGAATTTATGTATATACATATATCCATCTACTTGAACTAAAAAATAGAGGACAAGTAAATAATAACATTGTAAAAATTAACACTATTTTTTCTAGGACAAATGGCTGGAGTTTGTTTGCTGCTCAAGCCATTCCAGGCAAGACAGAGCTGGTGCCAGAATGGCTGTCCTGCCTTTTTGATCTTTTCAATCCTGTTGTGGAAAGGTAAGTGTTTTTTTAGCAGACTGGGATGAATCACAGGCAATGCTTCAGACCTAATCTTAAAAGAATTAAAAACAGTTTTGCTTTTGCTTCATGTATTAAAACCATTGCTGGCTTTCATTTAGTATTCATTTAGTTCATTCAGGGGCAGATTTAGGCCGTCTTCTGGGTGTTCCGGAAGATGGTCAGATTTTCAAGTTTACATTGACGGGTAATATCTATTTTTTTCTGCTGGAAGACGGTCAAAATTGGAGGATGAATCAACAAAGATAATTTGGAAGACTGTCAGTAAATATCTCTGAATCCGCCCCTGAGAAGTCATAGTAATATTAGCAGGTGTATAACCAAGGAGAATGGGGAAAAGAGTATTTAACTTTTACAAACAGTTTTGATCTCACTTTGTCATATTTTGGACATTGATATTTAGAATACTCTTCATCTTTCTCATTGTTGCAGTATGTCTTTGGACTAGACCCATTGTTGGAGCAAAGTGTGTAGTCTACAATTGAGCAGAGTTTCATCAATATCATGTTCTTTTATTTAATATGCAAATTCTACATGACATACATGTGACATTGCATTGGATTACATTACATTATATTACATCACCCTATATTCTAGGATAATTGGACCTGCTGTGTGTCAGATCTTGAAGCGCCAGTCTGTCAGTGCTGACATTCCGCCATTGTCAGCCATGTTGGAAGAGCTCCCATGTGGCTGCGATCTCATCAACCACCCGAATAAGGTCAAAGAGATGGATGCAAATGAGGAACTACTGGGCATAGCGTTGTCTCAGGTCTTACAAGCCCTTGGTGAGGAGATATATGCAATCCCACAAGCTGTAGGGGTGTTCTTCAATATGCTTCAGTCCAGGCTGCAGGAAAAGGGCATTGAAAGTGCACAGGATACTGCAGGTTTACAGGTATTGTATTTGCGGACGCATATTAAATACCCCACTTCTTTCAATATTTGAACTTGTTTCTCTGCACTTAGTAATTTCAAATATTTATTTTAAATAATTATAATTTATGAATTATTATAATTATTTATTCTTTATGTGCAAAAATATATTTTACTTACCTAATTCATTTTTATAGAAAATTATTTTGAAGTTAATTTCATCTGCAACATTTCACATCTCTGTAATTGTTGTTATAGTCATCTTCACTAACTTAACACAGCAACTAAAATTTACTATTTATATTTATATACATATATATATATATATATATATATAATTTCAGCTGCTGGCCAGTTGTCTTCGATACAAACTGTTAGACAGTTCCTTTATAGAGAGCCTTACAGGGATGCATATCAGGGTAACTGAGAAGGAACTCTTCATTAATCTGGGAGAAACTCTCTTTCAAATTCTTACTGATTCAGGTACACATTTTTCTTCAGTGTTTTTGTTCATAATTGCAAAGAATGACTATAAAATACTATCTATGATAATATTTTCTTAGTAGTAGTAAAGTACTTTTATTCAAGAAAGGAAGTTACTTGTAGTTAAATAATTAACATTTTTTCCAGCTGATATTTTTATAACCAAAGATTTATTCTGAATAAAAGTTTAATAGAAACTGAAATTATAGACTTGAAAACTGCATAGTTTTTGATGTAGTAATTTCAATTGATGCTTGCAGTTGTAATGGTTTTACATGTACTTTATATTCCAGTGAAGAAAGGCAGCTCTACACCCAGAATCTGCAAACGCTACTTAAAGCAGCATCGAGCATGGGTGCAGGAACAAGTGAAGCAGATCAAAGCATATTTTCTCTGCCATGAGTAAGGATTTTCTCATTCTAAAAACTTCACTCCACCAACGAACAAGCTACAATTGATTATACGAAAAGTCCTTGTGTGTAAAAGAAAATAGCATGTCATTTTAGAATGTTAAAACTATGTTTGAAGGATAAAACTGACTGTATACATGCATTTCACGAAAGCAAAAGGAATACAGGAAGACACCTTCTCTTCAGTCTTTTTTTATTAGATTTTGAAACACAGACAAAATATTTCTGATTTCAGTATATTCAGTGTAGAGGAGGGTAACCTTATGGAGGGGGCACCTTCAGAGTTTACCCACTGCCTGATGACAGCATATGCCAGTAATGTGATGAACTCTAGCACAGGTTGGTAGCTTGGAATTCTCCTGGATCTGCGTTTTATGTCTAATGGTTGTCTTTAACTTTACTTCAACACGAGACACTGGACATTGTGGTAACCACCATCAGACGAGTAAATCAATGATATTAGAACTAATCATTATATGAGAAAAAATTGAAACACGATAACCAAACCAATTACTGAAAGTAGTGGGTTAAATCAAAGGTGCCAATGAAGCTGGAAGCTTTAATTAACAAATGTTAGAAACAAAGGTATCAATTTTAAGTGCAGTTGTCATGGACAGTTATCAGCAAATTACAGGGTTAATATATATATACAAATCAGTTCAAACAGATCTCATTTTGAACGAGAATTCAATATAAAATGTTATTGTTTTGTTCATTTGCCCAAAGCAGATGATGTGTTACTACTTACAGTGCCTTTTTTCTCCCGTTTAGGAATGAAATCTCTGAACCAGATTTACAACTTTGTTTTGAACAATAAAGACTGGATTGTGGCCCAGCTTGACATTCCACTCCTCATCCCAGCACTAGAGCCACCTTGTGGTCATGAATTTAAGTTTGATTTCCAAACACCATGTGTCAAGGAATATAATCCTTTGGAACAATTCCAGAAGATAGGACTTTTTTCATTTGACCATGTAAGTTATATTATTGCATATATTTTATGAATTGTTTTTTTACCTGGACCTTATACCCATTTTGCATGTATGATGGGTCCGAACCTGGACTGATCATCAAATAATAAAAAGTGCAGTACATGTATATTGGACCCAGTTGTCTTGAGCCTTCCTATTCTCAGTTGTGCTTGTATGTGTACATAAATAGAATGCCTTGCCCCTTTTTAAAGAACAATTCATCCCTTAACACTCAAAGTGCAAGGTCAAGGAATACATGTTACCATTTGTTTGGCTGTACAAATGTGGGTATTTTTTAAACTTGCGTGAGTGATGGTTAACAAGTATTAAAATCTTGTTGAAAATACCTTTAGAATTGTTGATTTTGCTGTTTGGAATGTTAATTGGCTCTTAGAAATAGGACAATTCAAAGTAATTATTGCCAGCCTATTAAACCATGCCTTTTCCTTTTTCTATTGTAGAATTACATCACTGAATTCGCTTTCAACTGGACAGAGTTACTGAAAAGTGACCTGGGTCTCAGTGAGCTTGGCTTCAAGACTCTTCTCTACCACAGACATGACATGCAAGATGGGGCATATTTGGAACAGGGAGAAAAGAAACCTGTTCAAGCCCTGAAAGCTAAATTTGATGTTGAACCAGCAGAGTTGGTTTGATAATGTGGTGCAATCAATATAAGTGTCTTCATTGTATTTACAGGACCTCTAATACATGTATTTGTATGTTCGTTGTCCCAATATTTATTTTTATATGTAGTATGTTAAAGTTGATAATCTCTCCCTTTTGTACTGCACAGTACTTGTGTATTGGGAATTAAAGTATTTTATAATTAAATTAGGTAAATGTCATGTTAAAAGGGCATGAAATGGAGGCTTCATTATTCAACGGGTGTGTAGCAATACACAAATATGATTACTCACAGTTACACAAATAAGTTTTTGCTTCTTCATGATCTGTGATTGTTGTCTCATCTATNTTAAGTCTACCAAGAGTTGTGTAGGGTACTTACCTATGTGATGCAGAAATGGGGAAGTGCTGTCCATGGCAATGTACTTTTCACCCCCCAAAATGCTCACAAGCAGATTTTTCATATCATTTTTCCCTTGCCATATATAGTTATGTGCTACAAGTTTTGTAATTGCACACATGAAAGAAAAAAATATAATAAAAATAAATACTTTCAGTTACCTTTCTTTGCATACCAATTTTACATACCAAAATTTTAATGATGGGATTGAACATTTTTACTGAACATTGTAAAAATAAGTCTCATGACGTTTCACTTCAGTTTGGGAATCACTGATTTACATTTTGATAAAAGTCATGAGAGTACTTTCTCAATATTTTCAATGGGCAAAAATTATCAAAGTTTCAAATAAAAATTTTTATAACACATATATTTAATTTCTATATAGCATCTGTGGTGCTTAAGTGCATAGAACATGTACAGATCTACAGTGTAGCCTGCCTTTTGAATTTGTTGCTACCACTCAAAAGAATAATTTTAATTTCAGGCCTGTACATGTAGTTGGGGGGGGGGGGGGGGGGGGAGGGGGGGGGTTTGAGATGCATCATACAAGCTGGGTAGGTCAAAGACACTTTTTTTTTTTTTTTAATTTGTAAGCTTTGTATACACACCAATGTGAAAATGTACTTCAGAACCAGAGGTAAGCTTTATCCACATTACCTTGAAAACTCTTTTTATATGAACCAAGAAGCCATGGGATTCTCAGCTCTGGGCACTCTAATACTGCAGCTCTGTTGATATTGAGCAATGCATTAAATCCTGCCAATATAATTGGGGTTTCATGGTGCTCCAAAACTAAAAGATAATAATAAAACAAATAAATAAACTACACAACAAAGCTGCCAAACCAGAAATGTGGCAAAATTATATACCAAAGCTGTATTTCAAGGCTAAAAATCATTCCTTTAGTTTTGTGGATAATATGTGACACAATTTTCTTTTTATACTGCTTACTGTGGCAGTGCACAAAAAATTTGGACGGGTACTTTTCTAGTATATAACTAGAGGATCAGAGAGGCGATACCGCCTCCGGATATTGTACCACCAGCTGGAGTAAGCGCATTCGTATGGACCCCCCCCCCCTCCAAAAAGGGACAACATCACCAGTCTTGTGCTTGACAAGCTCTATAAGATGCAATCAACAAGAGTTCTAAAAATATGCAAAAAAATATAACTAAAAATGGTACAATCAAGCAGATTTTCGATTTTTCCTACCCTTGATCACTCCTGTATTCTCTAGACAAAAGGCCTATTGGTTTTCCTTGAAATGTGTTGTCAATGGTGCATATATGCTGACAAAAGAGAAAACCTAGGGGCAACAATGGGCACATCTCTGCTAGTTTTAAAGATATGAGTGGCAAGAAAATATGCACAGCTCAGTTCATGGTGAAAAAGTAGGTCAAAGGTCAATTTCAATATCATAATATATGAATTTCTTTGCCAATTTTGCAGATATAAAGGCCAGAAAACATGCAAAAAGCAGTTCATCATAAAAAGTAGGTCAAAGGTCAATTTCAAGGTCACAGATTGCTAGTGTATTACTTCCTATTCAAGTTCAATAGTAACTATGGACCTATCTCTGTCAGTTTTGGAGATAAAGGGGAAAGAAATTTGCAAAGTTCAGTTCGTACTAAAAAGAAGGTCAAAGGTCAATTTTAAGGTCACAGTAAATTGCCAGTATATGACTTCCTATTTAAGTTCAATAGTAACTATGGACCTATCTCTGCCAGTTTTGGAGATAAAAGGGAAAGAAAATTTGCAAAGTTCAATTCATGATGAAAAGTAGGTCAAAGGTCAATTTCAAGGTCACACTTAGATTGCCAGCATATGACTTTCTATTCAAGTTCAATAGTAACTATGGACCTATCTCTGCCAGTTTTGGAGATAAAAGGGAATGAAAATTTGCAAAGTTCAGTTCATGGTGAAAAGTAGGTCAAAGGTCAATTTAAAGGTCACAGTAAATTGCCTCTAATGACTTTCTATTCAAATTCAATAGTAACTGTGGGTGTATCTTTGCCAGTTTTGGAGATAAAAGGGAACAAAAATTTGCAAAGTTCAGTTCATGGTGAGAAGTAGGTCAAAGGTCAATTTAAGGTCACTGTTAAATTGACAGTATGTGACTTCCTATTCAGCTTTAATAGTAACTATGGACCTATCTCTGCCAGTTTTGGAGATATAAGGGAACGAAAATTTGCAAAGTTCAGTTCATGATGAAAAGTAGGCTAAAGGTCAATTTTAAGGTCACAGTAAATTGCCTCTAATGACTTCCTATTCAAGTTCAATAGTAACTATGGACCACACTCTGCCAGTTTTGGAGATATAAGGGACTAAATGTTACAATTCTGAGTTACAATAATGTGCCACCACAATGTTCTTTTTAATACAGCATAACACGAAAACCGTATGGAATACAAAAAAACGGAGACCACTTTCAATGTTGGGCTTTACATGCTCTACAAAATGCAAAAAACAACAGGTCGCTAGCATTAACGGTTCCCAAATTAGAGACAGTTTTCAGTTTCAGTATCTTATGGCCGCTACTCCCGTGAAAATGCACCGATTGACCCCAAATTCACGGAGATGAAAGATGACCCGAAGGGTAACACTTTCCAATAATATTATTGGTTAAGTCTGTGTGGTGTCTGAATAACAGCGCAAATAATATTTTTTTTCGTAAAAAATTTCATTTTTTTGAAAATTTTTTCCCGTTTGACCTTGAAATAAAGGTCAAAGGTCAAATCCAAGGGCATATTTGAAATCTACACATATGACTTTTGGAAAGCCGTCTGTAGAAATTTTTCCCATAATTCCTTCCGTAGGATAGATAATTGGCATTGAATTTTCAAAAATTTTGACAAGGGTGCATTTCAACGAGGGTCATGCCCAGGTCAATGCACCGACTGAGACAAAAAAACCTGGGGGTTCAAGTTGAGGTTATATGTGACCTAAATCCAAGAGATGGGGACAGGGGTCCTTGCAGTCTAGGAGGAGAAGCGGTAACGGTGACTTGTATCCGGCGCCAGTACGCGGAGCCGGCGGAGCCAACGGAGCCGGCGGAGCCGGAAGAGACGGGTCGGGACTAAAACCATGAGTACCGCCAGCATACACGCTGGCGGTACTAATAAGAGGAGAAAAGCTCATTTTGTTCCCTCTATCATTAAATGTGGAAAAGTGGATTAATGACAGCATTCAAATTATTTTCATGTAAGTTGCTGCTGTCGTGTAGATACTTCTCGGTATCTCTAGATTATGTTGGCATTACCTGCTAAAAAAATGTTTGAATTAAAGAATGTTAGCTTATTTCCCTTTAGTTGTCTACCAGCATATTTTCCAAACATGCCCAACTAATGCTATCTTTATCAAAATACATGAACTGGATGCTCATTTTGTAAATTTTGAGCTTAAAAAAAAACTCCCTTTTCGCTATGTCTGGGAGTTAATGAGCTATGTGATCATGTAGTCCGGACCAGGAAAAACAACCAGCGGGCATATATATCATACAACAAGTTATATGTGGATGGAAAATTGTACACTGGACCGTAGGGACACGTGGATGGACATTTAAGGGTTTGCTCATGGAATATTGCTAGATGCTTGGTGGAAAAACTTGAAAATCGTGAGCTGATTGATTATCTGCTTTATTTTGATATTGTTGCATTAAGTGAATGCTGGGTCTCTAATCATGATTTTGATAATCTCAAGATTGAGGGCTTTTGTGACCCATTTATCATACAAAGGAAAAAATCAAAAGGTGGTGGACTAGTATTATATTTTAAAAAACATTTGATGGGCAAGTATGAAATTGCTAAAATAGGTTTTGATACTTATGTATGGGTTAAATTAAAAGGTCATGCTGTGGGTCATTTAAAGGATGTCTTTATTTGTTTTTGTTATATACCTCCTGAAAACACGAAGTATTACGATGTATACGATGTGAATATTTTTGATGAATTACAACAAGATGTTGGTAATTATTCTCAAGATGGAAAAGTTATGATAATCGGTGACTTAAATTCTAGAGTAGGTTTAGAACTTGACAGAATAGAGTCTGATAAACTGGCGGAGGACAGCCAGGCTTTACTGTCCAATATCTGCTCATATATTAGTGACAATACAATCATACGACCAAATAGATGCTCAAATGATAAAAAGATAAATAATCACGGTAGAGAATTATTAAGATTGTGCAGAACAACAGGTCTAACGATAGTGAATGGCAGGCACACTGATGATAAAGAGGGTAAATTTACTTTTTGTTGTAAAAAATGCTCAAGTGTCTTGGATTATTGCATTGTTGATGAAACCATGTGGTATTGCATTTACAACTTTAAGGTAGATGAATTCATGGAATATGCAGACCACGCACCATTATACCCCCTTTACACTGGACGGCGTCCTTTCTGCGTCCTTTCTGCGACCATGATATTTGGCATCACTGTGGTCTTAATAAGGAGGCACGAGCATTGATTTTGTATCAGAATGAATGCTCAATGATCGGCCAGTTGTCGGCACGTAAAGTATTATAATTTTTTAACTCTCAAATGGGGCCGTACTGCTGGACGCAGAAAGGACGCCGTCCAGTGTAAAGGGGGCTTTAGCAGTTACACTTTACTCATTGGCTGATCAGCCACACAGTAATTATCAGGGGTAAGGTATACATTACTCAGGGCAACAAACAAGGTACACATTCGATCTATTTAAATGGAATGACAAGGATATCCAAAGCATGGAAAATAAATTAGTAGCTAATCTAGAAATACTAACTGGAATAATATCTGATTTGGATAGCAATACAGTGGACTCGGCAATGGAATCTTTTACTGAAATTCTGAACGATATTACGGGAGGATGCAAACAAACAGTTACTCAGCACAGAAATAAAAATAAACCCTCGGGGGATAATAAGCCATATGGTTTGATAGCCAGTGCAAGGAAAAGCACAAAGAATATAGGAAAGCTTTATCACAATTTAACGCATATAAAACAGATGAAAATAGAATAAAATTGTGTAATATTAAGTCAGAATACAAGGAAATGGCGAAGAAAAAAAGGAGTCATTACAACAAGTGCGAGGAAAATAGGATCTCATATATGCGTAAGAACAATCCAAAGGAATTTTTCAAGAAATTCAGAAAAAGGACAAGCACCAACTATAATGGACCGGAAGCAGAGGACTTTTTCTTACACTTTAAAAACCTCCTGTCAGATGATCAACCTGCTAATAACCTTGCTCTGGATAATGCAGATGAATACTTGACACACGCGGTATTCAAAGAGCTTGATGAAGAATTTACTAATGAGGAAATAAAAGCAGTTGTTCAACATAGTCGTACAGGAAGAAGTCCAGGTCTAGATCATACCTTTAACGAGTTTAACAAAAGATTTCAACACATAACCATACCATTGCTTACTAAATTGTTTAATAAGATTTTAGAGGTTGGTATTTTTCCGTCAAAGTGGAAAAAAGCTATAATAGTACCAATATTTAAAAAGGGGGATCCTATAGTCACTGGCAATTATAGAGGTATTTCACTTCTAAGTCATACTGCAAAAATATTCACCTCTGTAATCAACAATAGATTAATGAAATGGAGTGCTAATCATGATGTAATATCTGACAGTCAATTTGGTTTTAAACCAGGTAGTGGGACACGGGACGCTATTTTTTCCCTGAGCGGAGTAATTACTGACACTCTTAGAAGGAAAAAGCGACTATACTGTTGTTTTGTTGATTACTCGAAAGCGTTCGATTCAGTCAATAGAAATTTATTATGGGGAAAGCTAATAAAAGAGGGACTTACTGGAAAATTGTTGAAAATAATTGTTAGTTTATATACTGAATTTAAAGCATGTGTCAGATGCAAGGGTTTAAATAGCACTTATTTTGATGTTGATATTGGACTACTCCAGGGAGAGGCATTATCTCCTTTAATGTATTCTCTTTATGTGAATGACTTTGAGAGTTTCTTGTTTTCAGAGAAGTGTAATGGGTTGCAACTAAGGGATTTGAATCTTTATTTATTGCTCTATGCAGATGATACTGTATTATTTTCTGAATCTGTTACAGAACTTCAAAATATGTTAGACAAACTTAAACTATATTTAGATGATTGGAATTTGACAGTTAACACAGACAAATCTTATATTGTAGTATTCAGAAATGGTGGTATTGTGGCGGATCATGAAAACTGGTATTATAATGGTAACAAATTGGAGGTTGTGAATTATTTCTCATATCTAGGGCTGGTCATCAATTATAATGGAAAATTCTCCCTCACACAGAAGTTTATTGCAAGTCAAGGAAGAAAAGTCATGTATAGAGTAAGAAATTCATGTCGAAACATGAAAATTAATGTTGAAACAGAGATTTTTCTTTTTGACACGTATGTATTACCTATTCTGAACTATGCAAGTGAAACATGGGGTTTTCACAGGTCTCAAGAAATCGAAAAGGTTCACCTCCTTTTTTGCAAATTACTACTGGGGGTAAAGAAAAAGCCACGACAGCAATGGTATACAGTGAACTAGGGCGATTGCCACTGAAACTTAATAGATATATTTGTATTGTAAAATACTGGTTGAAACTTTTGACTACTGACAATTGCATTTTAAATGGTGTTTATCTAAATCTTCTTGAGACCTGTAATGATCATGAAAATTGGGCTACAGCAGTAAGAAGATTATTATCAAATCATGGTTTTTCCTATGTATGGGAAGCTCAACATGTCACAAATGAAGCTAAATTTATTGAAGAATTCAAGGGTAGAGTGAAGGACAACTTGTTGCAAGAAATTAGGTCTACAATAGATGTATCTTCAAAATGTTTCATTTATAGACATTTGGTAGACAATCACAGCCTGCAATTTTACCTGCAGAAAAATTTAACATATAGATATAGACAATTAATTTGTAAATTTAGAACTTCATCCCATTCTTTAAGAATAGAGAAGGGTAGATATAGTAATATCCCTCGTAACCAAAGAATTTGTCAGTATTGCTCAAATGTTAATGTTGTGGAAGATGAGTATCATTTTATTTTGATATGTAAATTGTACTCTGACTTTAGAAGAGTTTATATCAAACAGTATTACTGGCGAAGGCCATCTACTTTCAAACTAGTACAGTTATTAAGTACACATAATGTTACTGACCTAAGAAATTTAGCTAGATTCCTGTGTGCTGCCTCTAAGCTTAGAGAGGACACTATAAGTTTTTGAGTTGATCCAACAATATTTGTTTATTGGTATACTATATAATTACTATATAATACTAGCCTTATAAAGAAAAGTCACACTGCAATTTTTTTTTTTTTTTTTTTAGATATATAAGTCTGTCCATCCACCACTATTTTAGGTACTCCAATATGTCAACAGTGGTTGCCACCTCCACCTACCACAAATGTTATACTTTTTATGGTTATATGCCTATGTCAAGTTGATTCGGCAATAAACTATACTATACACCATAGTTAAATTACTCCATTACAGCTTTCAGTAGGCAGGACAGACACTTAAGCTGGCTAAGCTGACAGTAATCTAGTGAGACTCCCTACAGGGATAGATCGATCTAAAATCTATGGAAGTGGGGTCTTAGTGTCTGTGTCTGTGCACACACGTTTCATAAGTATTTTAAAATCATAATTATTCTACTGAGATTCCAGCCTTACCTAGCTCCTCAATATTAAGGGTCTTAACAATTGCTACAATGTTCTCTTCTTTGGTATCACCTGAAAGAACAGAATGTGTTAATATGATTGCATTCAGCCAGTTTCCATTGAGTCAGTGCATATTAGCAAGGTCTTCAAATTCATTTTGAACAAACAGGCCCTGAAGGTTCAGACTTGCACCCTGTGAGTCAGGGTGTTGTTGTCATAAATAATTCTTTTCATGATTCCTTGCTAGTAGCTTAAAAATGCACCAAGTTAATTGCTATGTCTGCTGAATTATTGTCTTGAATAGAGCAATACAATTATATAATGCAATTCACTTACCACTGGTGTGGACTTCAGGCTCGTACATGTAGTTCCACTCTGGAACAAGATGTCGCATTTATTTGTCATTCACAAATTATAATATAAATTAAAATATAGTCTAAAATGTACTTGACAGAATTTAAGGACCATCTCATCATTTCTATTCACAGGTTATATTTCATAGGAGTATGAGATCATGTAATCTTTTTTACCATGCATTATAAATAAAATTGAAAAGTTTATTTTACCTTTTATTCCATTGGTTATATCAAATAGAATTATATAAGATCAAGCACCTTTTATTTCCATGTCCAGTTCTCCCCAAGTACAGGTCACTTCCATGCTGTCCTTGGTGGTCACCTGGAGGCACCTGTTCCTAAAGGGTTCAGGCTCCCATGTCCAGCCAGACCCAGGGTGGTAAGGCTGGATGAATGATGAATAAATAAATAAATAACTTGATAATATGTTTATGTATAAAATGATAATATAATTTATAAATATATAAAATTACTAATAGATCAAATACTCCAGATAAATGTATAAATAAATACTTAAACATGCCGGACTTTAAATTTTCTTTTTCAATTTCAAAGAAAATCATTATAACCTTAGATTTTTATTTTAAAAAAAGATATAATACTTACATTTTGTGGCTTAATGAATTTCCATTCCATTTTTGAGCCCTTGGGCAGGAGAAACTCTGCCCTTAGAGACGGGACACCCATGATGGTCGTCCTTGGCATGTTAATGCCACGCTGGGTGTCCCAGCCTCCAAGGGCAGTTCCCCTGCCCACCACTTTTGCTTTCAACAGGTTTTCTCTCAAAATTAGTCTGACAGTGGCTTTGGCTGTTCAAAATAAAAAGTAAAATAGAAGTAAAAATCCTATCAATATACATGTATCTTTTTGATATTTTCACTACAGTACAGACTTTCAAATTGACCACAATTAATGTAAATAAAGTATGTGATACCTTACTTTCATATTACAAAGAAATTAATTAGTTATTTTAGGCCCATTGTAATGAATTGCCAGCCCATTTATCAAAAACATACAGTCACATATACACACACACACAACTTACGAGCACACTGTTCTTTTTTGTTTATTTCAATCTCCATATCAGATGTCATCTGCAATAGTATAATTAATAAATAAATGGAATCTTAGTAGATACAAACCATAGATCTTCATTTGATAGTTTTCAAGAATTTCATTTAGAAGATAAATTAATCATAAAAAATCACTGTAAAAAGGCTCTATGTGGGCTTACTTTAAACTTGATACAATGTTTCAGTTTGGAATAAAAAAAAAAAAATACTTACCAGCGACTGTGTAGACATTGTCTCTTTTCTTTGTTTACAAAACAATAAATGAGAATAATTATTGTATAAAGAAATTTCATTGGACGGCTCCTGTATTGTTTACTAAACTTTTAACCAATCAGATTGACGCTTCGTTGAAGCTCTCGACCTCGAGTCCTTCTGCTAAATACAAATCACAATATATCACAATATATATCACAGAGCCTGGACCCTGGTTATATCTATTGAAGTGCCAGAACCCTCTCCCTCCTTCCACGAGTTTCTTAGCAGGCGGTGAACCTGTTGCTGATACTGGGTCCAGTCCATCACAAATCCAAAGTCTCACCTCTTGCATAGCGCCATCTATACTAAACAATGTTTATATGGCGTATCAGGCAAAGGGTGATGCTGAAAAACAGAGATTTTCATCAAACGTTCTGTGCACTGAGTGCCACCTTCCACCAGGACACTGGCTCTGTTATAGATTATAATGGCAAACGTAATCGGTGAGTTCAGGATGAGACGTCTGAACTGAAGGGCACATATGATATCGACTGTGTCAGTTGTTCACTGTGCACATCACGATGCAATGCGCTTGTGAAGATTTTACATTGTGCTACAGAACGTTGACGCTGCTGATTAAAAGTGCTTTTGGAAAGCTGACAAGATTGCACACCGTCATCTTGCCATTCCCTTGCATCTGTAGTTTGGCAATGGCGTATGAAGTTGAGATAATTAACTGGAGAACTGACGTTGTATCTTTTAGTATAATCATAGAATATTTGTTTCTTCACAATTAATTTGATGTACACATGTAGTAAACCTACTAAAATTACTCTTATATTCTGGATCTTAAAGGAAAAGCCAGATTACTGACTTTTTTTTTGTCTTTTCCAGTCCATCATCTGACTCCACACTACACTGTACTACACTGTACTAGGAGGCACAGGACTATACTGCCACAATGGAACACAATGACTCCAGACCACTACACTTTACTAGGAGGCACAGGACTATACTGCCACAATGGAACACAATGACTCCAGACCACTACACTTTACTAGGAGGCACAGGACTATACTGCAATATAATACCTGATAATTGGGTGAATTTGTGCTGCTACTGATGTAAGAATTTTTAGGTGAATCTTTTTTTTGTATCGTATTGCTTTGTCAAAGAAATTGAAGAAACAATTTTATGACACTAAAAATTGAGTAGATTGTTTTAAAGATGTTTTTTAATCATCTTCCAGCGGATCATCCTACATACAAGTTTGTATGTGGTAATATTGCTGCTGTATCAACTTATCTTGGAGATGTGACCACAACAATGACTGTAGAGATAACAGTGATGAGGAAGGGTGTAGTAAGTATTACTTAGAATGAAGATGTGACCACAACAATGACTGTAGAGATAACAGTGATGAGGAAAGTGCAGTAAGTATTACTTAGAATGAAGATGTGACCACAACAATGAATGTAGAGATAACAGTGATGAGGAAGAGTGCAGTAAATATTGCTTAGAATGAAGATAGATATCAAAGAAATGGGTTGTCAAGTAGTGGGTAATGGCTTTTCTGAAGCTGTAAAGAATGCTTGTCAAAATACACAGGATTTAAAAACAAGTAATGGGTGCATTTATCCAGAAAATATCAACTTCTGTGTTAGAAAACATGATAAGTTATGTTCTCGCTTTTAAGGTACAGATATTATTCCAGCACCAGACAGCACTATGTCTTATCCATGTGTACAATACATGATATTTGGCATGATTTAGGACATTGTCAACTATTGTGATAACAAGAAACCCATTGTAAGGAGTAATCTGCATCTGGCATTGGTAGTAAGGAGAAGTCTTGTATGGGTTTATATTGTTTTCTAGATGACAGTTATAGGTAATTTGCAACCTCCTACACAAACAACCTCAAATTATCAACAACCTCAATCACATTTGCTGTTTTCTTTCAGAGGAAATAATACACTGCAATATTGAAATGTCTTATCCATGTGTACAAAACCTGATATTTGGCAAGATTTAGGACATTGTCAGATATTGTGATAACAACATCCACTTCCAGAAACCCATTGTAAGGAGTAATTTGCATCTGGCATTGGTAGTAAGGAGAAGTCTTGTATGGGTATATATTGTTTCCAGATGACAGTTATAGGTAATTTGCAACTCCTACACAAATTACTTCAAGTCATCAACAACCTCAATCACATTTGCTGTTTTCTTTCAGAGTAAATAATACATTGCAATATAGAAATGTTTGTTTTGGTTAATTCTCACTCTTGTGATGATCAATTTCCAGTAAACTTGACACTTTAAAAAAGACACAGACAACTGATCAGTTTTTCCCAGGTTTTTATTGTTGTTAAGCATCATTTGTACAGATTACAGAAACATTGGACAATTTTTTTTGAATTATTATCATTAAACTATTTTAAGTCATGGAATTTTGCAGTGCTAATTTTCAGTGTAATATTCAGTTTTCCCAAATGTATCATCCGAAGACTAGACTTTTCATTAGTCACAGTCAACTGATCAGCTTATCACAGGTTTTTATTGTTGTTAAGCATCATTTGTACAAATTTCAGAAATATTCGACAAGATTTGACAAAATTATTAACGTTTAACTATTTTAAGGCCTGGGATTTGCCAGTCTTTTTAATGTAATTTTC